TAGTAGACTGCAGACTTGCGATTGATTGGAAGACTTGCGATTAACTTGGATCAATTGCAACTCTTTACAAGATAGGGCCCTGGATATCTTTTGAAGAGTTTACATGTATCTCAAGAAGCAGTTTCATTACCAAAACTCAAAATAAACTTTAGCAACATGAATAGTTGGAATGCGGACGGTGTCAACCCCCGGCCCCAGTAGAGATTTGATCTAATAACATGTGATTGTTTGGTTTGCTTGAACATGAATGTGATATGTGAGGGAATATCAAAACGTTTCAGCACTTTAGCATTTGGGTTGAGGTATTTGACCCCAATATGATGCTCTTAAAGGCCCACTGCACTACTTGTAGCTACGTGCGCCCTCTATATAACAAACAATGCCTAATCAGTGACCATTGGTTCCCCCATGATCCTCTTTTTCTTATGTTAACTGAGAGCTGAGTTGATAAGATAACCACCTGTCCAGTGACCTTGCAGGGCAGTCTAATCCCTCCTGTAAACTACGACAGATAAGCTTTAAAGACAGATTTTTAAATGATGCCACTAAAAATAAAGGTTCAAGGGATGATTTTCAAAAATGTATCATTTAAAGTTAGAATGTAAAAACAGAATGTAAAGAGAGGGTTCAAATGACACTCGGTTTAAAATATAAATGTAAAAAGACAATTGTGATTTGTACTGTAATTCAACTGCCTTGTTTGGGTTCACTTTGGTATGGCAAAGTTCTTTTTTTTTTTGTGGCTGAAATATGATTCAGTTCGCGACGGATAATTTTGCAAATGCATAAATAAATAAACAAGTATCGGGCACTTGAAATTCAAATGGCACTCAGTTTAAAACATGAAAATGCAAAACAACAATTGTGATTTGTACTGTAACTCAGCTGCCATGCTTGGGTTCACTTTGGCTATGGCAAGGTTTAGTTTTTTCGGCTAAATTATGATTCAGTTCACGACGGATAATTTCGCAAATGCATAAATAAATGAACAAGTATCGGGCACTTGAATACTTATGTCAACAGCGGAGTTAAGAGTTCTGTTTATGCACATCAGTTTATTACGTGTGTGTGTGAGAGTGAGAAAGAGAGAGAAAGAGAGAGAGAGAGAGAGAGAGAGAGAGGAGATATGGAGACAGTGACAATTGAGACAGCCATAAAGAGATAGTATCCAACCAAAGTGTCGAATTCCAGAAGCCAGTCCAATTATGACCACATAATTTGAAAAATAAATAATGGAGATATACAATTATAGTTCTTTTATGCTTGTTTGTAAGATTTGGGGGGGAGGTGTCATCACCGTGGTATTAAATTTTCATGTCTGAGACACAATTTTGTCACTCCTGACGTAAGAGCTAAACACCCAGGTTTATCAATAATGAGGTGCATGTGGGGTACTCTATCAGGTATTTAAAACTTCAAAAGGTTTCATCAACCTCTAAATAGCAAAGAAGTAACAGAGTTTTTTCTTCGAAACGATGTATCCTAATACAGATGTACCTTTGTCTTGCTAGATCCAGTGCTATGAAATAACACATTAAGAAGTAAGAAGTGTTACAAATTGATCAATTTGAAAATGTTGTCTTTGACATTGTTGTTTCTGCTTTGCTCTATTTAATGTTAGTTTAGCTTTTTATGTTAGTAGCATGTAGTTGTCTCATCCCCCAACCAAGAAGTCTGGTATGAAATACAGGTCCCTTGTTTTCATGTACAGGTATGCCTCTGTGTTCTGATTATTCCTCTACCCCTCCTCTCCACTCCTGTAATATAAAACTCTACCTTAAAGGCTTAGCATAAACAGTGGACTTGTTTTGAAGTACGATGTCAAGGGATCAAAAGAGAACTACTCTCCTTGACCATGTCCACGTCAATCACGATGATGACCATTAGCCGCTTAGTGTACCTCTCACCATCGGCCAGTCTGCAAGGATAAAAACACTCATCTGAAGGGCGGGAGAAACCGAGTGGCGGATTGTTTCATCGCCTGCAGCGGCGCTCATCCCAATAAACGAGATCCATCTCATTCTCGTTTCCCTAATTCAATTTGTCCCCTCTTAGAGTTCTCCATGCTGCCACCCTGTTGTGGGTGTTTCTCTGTGGTTAGTCTTCCAGACAGACTCCACCCATCCATCAAGACTTATTCACATGTATGTGGTGTGATAAACTGACTTAAAAACAAAAATCGACCATTATGTGGCAATATGAAATGGCAGTAGTGTGTTGCACTTCATCCAGATCCCCTTCTCTCTCTCTCTCTCTCTCTCTCCCCCTCCTTCTCTCTCTCTCTCTCTCTCTCTCTCCTTCTCTCCTTCTCTCTCTCTCTCTCTCTCTCTCCTTCTCTCCTTCTCTCTCTCTCTCTCTCTCTCTCTCATTTATACGTTTATACATTTATACCGGTTCTTCAAAAAATTTGGAAGAATTACTCCTATTTGTTTGCCTTTAACTAATGTTCTGAACCTTTGTTTCCTCTATTTGAGAAAAACAAAACTGTTTAAAACACATAGAAATTACACTCTATTCCATATTGTGTCTCAAACAAGTTATTTTTTAAGCTTGGAAAGGTTGTTGTTCATGTAAAATACACACAATTATAAGCCAATGGTGCACATAGCACCCTTTCCTTTTTGTTCCGAGTAAAAGAGGATAGGTTTAATTTCTAGGCAGTTTACTGCATTGTATTTATGGAACAGGGCTTTACAGAGCATATTAGCTTATGATTTTGAGTACCATGCTAGTTATTAACAAACATTTTCAAGACTGGTGAGTGTGTCGGGAGACTTGCCAAACTATTATGTACATGTATCCATGGGCTTTTAATTACATTGTGTGACTATCAATCGCAAGAATTGGGCCAACTGCGGGGTAATGATCTTGCATGAAGATAGAGGTGATTACCAATTACTTCTCTCCAGTTCCCTATCCTTGATGAAATCTTTCAGTGGTATCCAAATAAAAGAGATTGGGAGAGAAACACAAGACGTGCCAGATCTAGGTAAACCGATGTCCTACCTCCTTGTTAATCATGGAGTTGAAGGCGTAAATCTTAAACGTATCAAATCACTTGTAAGGCAATCAGTGGTCGTGCTGGCCGTGCTTCGCTTCCCAGAATTTATTGATTGGTATATCTGTTTCCAGAAAAGGGACACTGGCTGCGTGGATATTGTTACTAGTTAACAGGAGCAGAACTATCAAACGGCAAATTAGATATTACTCAGTACTCGTAATATGGCATGTACAGTTATATAGATTTCAAATTGAAATACTATGATCTATAGTAGATATTAACTTCAAGATGAAGTTGTGTCCTGGGACCCGTTTCACAAAGCCTTTTTTAAATGACAAATGACAAAAACCAGTAACAAATCTGCTAACAACCATCAGAAGCAAGGATTTCACAAAATTGTTACAAAATTGTCATTTGTCACTGCATGATGAAAAATTTTGTGAAATGTGCCCCTGATCATTCTATAATAATTTTGGAAGAGTCTATCTCCAAGCAATGGGAATGGTTTATTAAATGTAGTAAATAAAAACAGGTATCGATCTACTGTGAGGTTTTGTAATGATCAAATTGATAACAAATTGATTCATTGTCACTGAAAAGCTCATGCACTAGACACAGGAATATGTATATGGGGCTACCTACACATGGATGTTTGGGCCTAACACTATTTTTCATCATCTGTTGAATACAGAGCATTTAAAGAGCAATCCTTTTTAGGAGATATGTCTTTTATGATATTCTTTGAAATTGACATAAAAGAAGGAGAAAAGACACCAATTATTTTTCATCTTTATTAGAAGAAGTCAAGCTTCTCTTTAATGAGGTATGTCACCAACAAATGGATGAGTGCCAATTTGAGGATGAAAGATTTGATGATTTATTTCAACTTTAAAAATACCATGAACTGCTATGGGTCATCATAAAGCTTTTCTGGCTCTCCTGGCTCTCCGCAATTTGATTTGCTTGATTATTCCATGTTAGTAAGAATTGTGAAGTTGTTGCTATGTCATCTGTTAACTTATATACTTTAAAATAGAAGTCATCCCCTTTCTGGCTCTGAACAAATGGTAAAATCGATCCGCTAGAAGAAGAATTTTGTTTGTATCACCCAAACTTGAGGCTTGTAACCATGCATCCTCCATCTATTTTTTGTGGGTGTGAGTTGCGTGTTGGCGTGGTGATGTAGCCACTTTGCTCCCTCGGTCATAGATAAAATAGTTTCCTGGAAATGCCATGCCTCAGGATCTAGGCTATAAGATTACTCCTTGATATATTGATTATTCAACGCCTCCAACCCCGTGAACCTCATACACAGATGACATAGTAATCCGCCCTAAAGAAACAAAAATGCAGAAAACCAAATTAGCATAAGCATAGTAGGCATCAAATTTCTGTATCTTATGATAGGGACCTGTGCTGTATACAGCTACTTTTTTTCTTCTTCACCCTCACTTGGCATTTAAAATGTAAAATACTTTTAATTTTCCTGCGGCAGTTTTTTTTTTCAAAGGTAGTTTATGAATTCATGGATGAACAAGGCTTTAGGCAGGTCTAAATGAATTATATTAGATTCATACTTGAATTGGACAAAATGATAATAATACCGGTAGTTAAATTGACATGAAATAAGCTAGCTACTAGTTTAGCACAGAATAATTGAAAACTGTATTGTTATCTTCAAATGTTTATGAATTGTATATAAAGGAAGTATTTTGAAGAAGATAGTGATGATGGCAATGACTGTATGAAAGTCAATATCCATGTTGTAGGGCATACAATGTTTGTCTGTTTGTTTATTGTTGTTGTTGTTTTATTGTTTTTACCTGATATCTAAAAAAAAAATAGTACTATTTTTAGCACATCCAAACCAGATATAGAAGAGAAAAAAAACCCACCTACCTCAGTCTACACATGCGAAATTTTAATTTTAAAACATTTTTGCAATAAGGTTTACTGTATGTTTCCTTTTGTTCTCCTTAATTATTTTTCCTTTTTGCAGTGCCTCAGTCTTTCAGAAGCAGAATTGAGTGAAAGGGAAGTTGTTCCGGTTGATATAGCATACAACAATGTTCCAGAAAAGTATTACAAAGAAAATGAGGTAAGAAATACACAAGATTTTTATTCTTAACATTTCAGAAAAGAACTCTTTTTATTCCATGTTAGTTTAAGTGTTGACAGTGTTTTACATATTATACTAGACCTAACCTGTCAAGTTTTCATTACCATTCACTCATTAAATATTTTACTAGGATATGAATTAATTTTGATGCAATTTGACTAAATTAATGTGAAATAAAGTACAAAAAAGTTCTTTTAAGTCTTGTTTGTGACTGTGCTTGTATTTTACATGTAAGAATTCATTTATTTGTTTTTTCTTTCTTTCAGGATCCAACAAAGTTTAAGTCGAAAAAGACAGGGAGGGGGCACCTACAAAAGGACTGGAGGGTGAGTTATCATAAATATATGTTTTTTTCTTTATTATCTAGTTTAAAAATCAGCCTTAACTATCTTTGATGTCATCATTCTTCAACTGCATCTCTTTCCATGCCTGTTTATACATGTATGTCTAGTCTTAATGTCTACTGCTAGTTTTCTCTCTTTTGTAGCATTTCTAAGTACTTGTAATGATTTTGCCTTTTTCTCTGTACATTTTTGTAGAAAATAAGTTGTTCATTGAAAATGGCGCAATTCACTGCATTGGAAATGGACTCAAAATTGTTTATTATTTTGTGTTCTTTCTGCTCATGTGTCATTCCTAGCCTTCTGGATAAAAGATAATCCAGAAAAATCACTTTACTGCTATGTGTTAAAATTGACCTGTCTGTCTCCTTTGCTCCCTTTCTACTTTGTGCAACAACAAATGATTCTTTTACATAAACTTGATACATAGATATATGATATACTTTTAAAAATTTGCATATTCACTTTCTCTCCTGTGGATTAAGAGCCAGAAGGGCATGAACTCTTTGTGAAATTCTATACATCCATTGTGAATTTTTTTTTTTTTGTGTGTGTGTCTCTCGCAACTCAATAATGAAAAATGAACTGGTTGAATTACGGCCCCTGTTGAACACTTATAGATTTAAGCTTTGATATGTCACATTCTCAATGAACATAAATCGGGACAAATACATTTTTCTCATACTTAATTTTTTTATACAAAACTTGGTAAGTGTATGAATAATTTAGTTGTTCAGTGTATATATTATGTTAATCAGTTCTTAAGCCATACAATACGGAATTCACCTAGTAATATCGTTTTAATGTCAATTTTGTTGCCAATTTGAAACCCTTAGGAGACGAGTAATCCTATAATGTGTTCCTACAAGCTGGTACGGGTCAAGTTTGAGCTTTGGGGTCTACAAACAAGAGTCGAAAGCTTCGTGCACAAGGTAATGCACTTTTTATCCTTCAATTTTGATGCAAATATCAGGTCGTGTATTGTTTTCATATGTGGGTAATGCAAAATAAAATGAAACCAATTAATATTGAAAGAGAATCCACAGTTTTTGGATTATCATCATTATGCAAAGTAATTACAAAAGATAATTGGAAAAAGATTACTGACAAATGAACAGTTGACCGTTCATCTAGTATACTCACAATACAATTACAAAAGGAAAATCAGATCCCCAATTTGGGATTGCATGTCATCCACTGATGCACTGGAAGCTATTATGTGCTGCATCGTTGGAGATCTACTGGCCTACAACAAGATTATTGGCTTTTAAACTTAATACCATTTGTTCTGAACAATTAAACAGCTATTTTGCAATAATGCTTGCATGTTGATGTAGTCATTTTGCTCCTGATTTTGTATCAAGGTAATGTAAACATTGACATTGTTTAAGTAGTTCCATTTATTTGTATGTCTTTAAAATGAACTATGAATGAAGCAGTTTATTGTTTAGGCAGTAAGATCATCATGTCAGCAACCCCCAAGTAGACTATTTCTTTCAATACAAAAATGAAATCTTGATGAATATGTTGCCTTGTCTAACTGGACATCTTTTGAAGACAGTTGCAAGATGTTTAAGACAAAGATTTTCAGTAATTCTACACACACACAAAAAAAAAATTCTCTCTTTGAAATCACAAAAAATTATAAAAAATATATGCTTATATATTTCCTGCTCCGTGCCAAGAATAGGTTGAATCTTTTTGCATACTTTTTGTCCATGCTATTCACCCTTTAATAGTGTGCAAGCTATAAATGTCTGTGAAAATCACAGAGAATTCCTTGTAAGCTGCAACCGATCTCATAGGATTGCAACTAGCTGCTATAGTCTAATGATCATCTAGCTAATGAAAAGTAACATTTCGTTATAGCCTCAGGGAGTCATTACAGCTAAGCATGGTCGGAGCTTAGATCTGTTCATTATGGAAATGATTTGCAGAGGTGTTTTGGCAGATCCTAGAAACCTAGATCTCTTTTTTTCCTGTTTACCTCCGTCATCATGCTTGCTCTTCTGCCCACCACTTGCTTTACCATCTGACTAAGATCCAATAACAATGTTACTACAAACTGATTTTGCAAAAAATTGGATGGTATACTAATATTGCATGTTCCGGCATTCGATACAACATATAAACCGACAAATTCAGAATTTCCCTAGTGATTTTATATTTCACCAAGGCAGCAGGATGAGGTTTCAATTGACATTTCTTTTCCATATTTTTCTTTCATTTCGTTTATTTCCACAATAACAGCAAACAAAATTTATAAAGTCATTCCGAGTAAATATACATAATATGGTACGTCCAACTGAGACTAAGAAGATAATTGCTTGCTATTTTGCGGAGGAAAACTAGGAAAGCATAGCTTGTAATTTAGGTTTCCTAACATAAAATATCATGGTATCATAAAGTATAAACTTATAAAGTATATAAAATATAATTTCACAAGGGAAATTCTGAATTGGAGGTGAATATATATTATTGAACAACAAAAATTGTTTATTATTTGGTATGTAAAATTGAGGGGGGGGGGTATTCAGAAGCTTAATAAAAATAAAGCTTTCATGCCACAATTGTTCACTCTAATAGCTCCCTAATAATGTGAAGGTGGAGGAGGTCTTAGTTTGGATTCAATGCCCCTAGCACAGAAGTAGTTGAAGTAGCAAGCAGTTAACCCCTCAGTAGTTCACAAGATATATTTCAGGTATAATAAATCACCATTTCCCCTCAAATTGGAACCATTTGTTTTTATGTTCCTCTCCTACGTAGCTAGAAAATTATACTAATGTGTTTGTTTTATTGAAAAATACTAAATTCAACAAAATAATGCCAATTTATATACAAAAATAGTGATTATAGAATTCACACCACATTAATAATTTAGAGACTGTAATGATTAGGTAATATGTCTATATTCATGAATTTCACTATACTGCATTAGAAATGGATGCAACACTGCTCGTGTATAACATGTTATTCCTAGAAATCTGGATCAAAAGATGTTTAAAAAAAATTTAAACTAAAATTAGACACGGAGCTGCTATGGGTGACAGAGTACTAGATGCTTAAATGATGCATTACCGGTACTGAAATGATCTGGGGAGGTGTTATTACCTCAAATTATCTTCCTCATCTTTCATTTGACCTACCTTTCTCTTCAACCCGTCATAGTTTTATGAACTCGACTGCAAGCTAGGAGCCCATGTATTGTCAATAGCAGGAACGATCTTCGATCGTGCTGGCAGCCGCCCATGTTTTAACCCTTTTAATAGCAACTAGAGATTTTGTTAAAGTGGCCTATTACTCACTGGAAGATGTTGCAATATTGCTCTCATTTGGACACTGCTCTAAACAATATGAAATATGCGCTATTTTTCTATGCAAAAACCTACTGTAGACATTGTAAGGATTTTGCTCATATATTATCACGATAGGCCCCATAGAATGGATATAACAGCGCGTTGAAAACGGACAGGCTGTTTTGGGCGGTTTAGTTGCTAAAGGATTAAGTTTCTCATGCTTTGCTTCAAGTCTCATAGTTCATACTGAAAAGTAGTGAAAAGCAGACTATCAACAGACAATTGAATTTGATAATTTCACAACTCCCTATAAATATGCTTGTACACCAGAACAGAAATGTAGAATGACAGGTTCTTTTCAATTTAAATGCAAATGCGAAATAAGTTGTATTGAATTGTATATATTTTGAAGTTAAGGAACATTTTGAAATCAAAATAAATATATAGAAAAGAAGCTTGCCTTCAAATAAGCAATACGTGGCATTGAATTGTGTAAATGTTGAACTTCAAAGAACATTTTTAATCTACATTTTTCACATATTATTATCAACCAAAAGGCCCCCAAAAACGCTATCAGGATATATTCATCCTATTCCCATCTACTCTCAAATCTACTTAAATCAAAAGTAAAATAAGTTGTATTGAAGTTAAAGGAACATTTGAAGTCAAATGATATTTGCCATTTTGCATCTTAACTTTTCACAATTGTATCATCAAAAAGAGCAATAATACTGCGTACTACACTCTATCAAGACTGAACAACTTCATCCTATCTTCTCTATTTTAAACCTTTTTATATGATCAATATTCAGAATATGTGGGAGTATAAATGTCATCTTCATGGAGATTTATTTGATACCACAAGCTAGTCAAGAGTGATTTGATGTAAATCTATGAAATACCTTAAGCTATCTAACTGGCGACATAAGCTAAGGCATGATCGTTAACCTTATTCTATAGTGATAGTATTCCTACCACTCAAAGTGTTCATGCGCCATTTTGTAAAGTGAACTTATTAAGAGATATGACCCACAAATGTAACAGAATTGTGAATTGTGACGATGTTTTTGCCATGTTTTTATTGTAAGAAAGTTGAACACTTTGGTTTCTTTCTTAAATTCTCACCTGTTATTCTTTCTGATTGATTTGTTTCTATTTTAGGCAATACAAGATATCCTTTTACTGGGTCATAGGCAAGCATTTTCATGGATCGATGAGTGGTATGGTAAGTTCATTTCAGTTAATATAATACAATTTTTGTCAAATCTCATATTATCACAATTTTAAAATTCATGTGAGTAGCCTGCTTAAAGACCAATGAATTTTGATATTCCTCCACAGTATTTAGTTGTGTTTTTCTCACATTTCTGAAAGATTCTGTTAAAATCCTGACATTTTCAATTTTTTTTGCAGTCTTTCAAAATATTTGTAGAAAGGAACATGCAGAAATATTTCCTCTTGTTAGGGGTGTAATAGCAGCAGTGTAGAGGTAGTAGTAGCAGAAGCAGAAGTTGTAGGGCAGTAATAGTAGTTCATGTAGCAGCCTCAGCAGCGACTGATATGTATTCTTGCATATGAACAGTTGGCATTCAAATAATACTATAGAATTTAGATACAACAAATTTCATGATTTGAAGCATTCATCACATTTTCATGACCAAGCTGACCCCAATATATTCATGCAGCTCACTTGTGTTATTGACTTCTCTTCCATTACTCCTGTAGAGGGCAGTATACATATCACAGCTTGTAGGCACATTGCAGCATTGACTTTTTATGCCACACATATTATATCCCTGTGCTACATGTACATTGTATTTATCATGGCATAGATATACCAAAGGCTTCAAGATTAAACCATTCCTAGCGAAGGATTAATTTTTTACTAGTTTTAAAAGGATTGTCAAGGACCTAATCAAGACCGAAAAGTTGATGTTTTTGCAAAGGCACTGTGTTGCACAGACCAATCCTTCTGTTAATTTGTGCCCATTTTTTTGTGCAAAACTTTATGTGTGGCAAATGGATTGACTGTGCAGAGAGGTAATAAAGTAAACGAAGTGTTAAATAACTGTTTGCTGCTCTTATGAATTATTTCAACTTCAGACATGACTGAAGAAGATGTCAGGAAGTACGAACAGCGCCTCCAAGCGGAGACAAACCGAAAGGTTCACCAGGGTCTAGAGAGAACCTCAAGTAGAGATTCCACCGATGCCGGAGACGACGACGAATTTGCCGATGCCGTGGAGGATCAAAGCGATCTCGCCCAAGGAGGATCATGATGAAAGCAAATCTTGTTCGCTTAGAGAGGCAGGACACAGCTTCCATTTAAAGAACATTACTAATGAGAGATTGGAGAGAGTATTAGAATATATATGGTGAAGGTTACCTCTTGAAGGACAGACTTGTTTTCCAGAGAAATATATACATGTGAAAGATCTGTAACAAAATAAATGCAATGTCTTGTGAAGTATTTTATGAATGAAAAGTTGTCAAGGTTATTGTCAAGGTCAGATAAGAGAGGAATCACAATACAATGAAGGTCTTCTTCCCTTTTTTTTTCTCCCTCTCTTTTTGAAGGACATGTAGAAGGATAACTTAATATTTAAGGTGAAGTAGACCCATATCTCATCACTATGCAGCGAATATCTTTGCCTGTTAACTTTCAAAGGGTATACAAAGAAAATGTCAGGCGGTGCTAGAAAAATATTTCCCAACTAATAGATGAGAATTCTGTTTTCATGTTCAGTATTTTTTCCTCTCCATCGACCCCTCCCCCAATCCACCTCTGATAGCAATACGTTTTACCATTCTCAGATAAGAGTGATTCAATTGAAACTAATCATTGAAGTCTCTAAATAGGCAATGCAGTGTACGATATGAGATCATTATTTTTGTGTACAATTTGGATATATTTCAATTAATTTTTGTTTCGTTTTACATTGGTTTATTCAATTTTTTCTTCCAATTATGATTGAATGGAAAATAGATTTATTGTTGCCAACTTGAGGAATGAAAAATGATTAATTTAGAAAATTTGGTTAATGAAACAAAGTCTTTGGCATGTGAACTCTGCAAGACAGCAGTAGCATTGGCTGATGTAATTTACCCTCAAATACAGGAAATCATGGATAGAATGTGGAAATATTGAACATTATGACCCCTGAAATTGAACTTATTTCATTTGGATATCCTTTTCACTACAGAGATGTAATATTACCTTGAAGTTCCTCTACGAGGATGATATTAGTAATGGGATTAAACCCAGGGGAACAATAGTATTGGACACACTGGCTCTATCTTACTTCCTTCCTTTCACATAAAGACATAAAGCCAGAAGCTAGGGCATTAACTCTTTATAAGTATAAAGTATATAATACCCTTTTCTAACTGCACTCTATCGGAGTCACACCGATGAAAATACCGATTGCATTTTCCTTATGTAAACAAAGGTGAAACCGCAGTTTTCCCCCTGTCGGTTTCTAACTGCCGGTGAAATTCACTCGCTGTGGCGAGCCCTTGCCGGAAGTGAAGAATTATTACGTAATTATTAAGCCCGCGCTCCATCTAGCTAGCATGCAGCTTGTTCAACCATAAGTCAACAAACACAGCTGGTTACGGTAAAGCGCGCGTATACTGCGACCTTTGACCATTTTAATCGCTGTTTTAATCGCCCTTTTCTCCCGAACGTTTTCTAACTGCACGTTTCATCGGTGTCACACCGATAGAATGAGAATTTCTCCTGCTCTAGAGCAGGAGAATTTAATCGCCTATTTCTCTTCTTTTCATCGGCTATTTAATCGCCTTTTTCTCCTCTGTTGCTTTCTAACTGGCACTTTCATCGGATGCGTCCGGATGCATCCGATGAAAATCGGTGCAGTTAGAAAAGGGTATGAGTTAATGCCCTTCTGGCTCCAAACTGTTATATATATCGTCCTTGTTTTCACGAAGTGACGGTAGAGAGGAAAATCGTAACGCAAAGTGAATGCAATTTTTTTTCACTACCGTCACTTCGTGAAAACAGCGACGATATGTATATACTTACATATATCCTACCTCTTGTGTTTCCTTGTGAATGTTGAGAGCAAGAAGGGCATTGACCCTATATTAAGGGATATGGGTTAAGGCCTTTCTTTTTCTCAGGGTAACGACTGTAGTTGTGATTGAATGTTAGGTTACGTTTAGGGTTAGGGTAGCATTAGGACCGTCCAGGGATATCAATACATATGGTGCAGTGTTTGATTTGTACCTTAAATGTTGTACAGCATCCTTTAAATTTCAAATACTTTGCACTAACTGCATATATCACGCTATTACCTCATTTAGTTTGGTATGTTTTTTATACAAAATTACAGTCGTTATTTAGGCTCCACAATGAATCTCTCATGTAGGTTTTAGGGTGATATTTTAAACGTGATGATGCACAAACTACTGATTTAATGATTGGTCCTCTCTGAGATGTACATCAGTAACAAAAAGAGCATACAAAAAGCCGTACATGGATCGCTGTTCAATCTTACATCTTATTATCATGTGCGATGTGTATGCTATGTATAAATTATGTCAGGGTAATTTGTTCTCGATTTGGCCGTGTATATTGCAATATTTGTTTGCTATATTTGCACTTATCACAATCAAATTATGTTGGGCAATGTAATTTTGTTTCAATTTCTTGTTAAAGATTGTAATTAGGAGGGTGTTTATAATCTGTTTTGGTTAGAGGTGTTTGGATGTAATCTTTCAGCGGCTTTCAGTATTTCAACTTTATTGCTTGTTTATCATTTGTAGGGCAAGATGCTCGTGAATTTATCTTGCCATATGACAAGGTTTCAATAAGCTCCAATGGCAAATGCGATGTAAATTGTGCAATCCTTTGCTTTCTTTCTTTCATATTCTTTCTGAATTATTCGTTCTAGATTATAGTCCTAAAAATATCAAAGGTTGGTGTATGTAAAGAAGAATGTTATATTGATCAGTTATGTGATCAATTAAATCTATAAAATGATGATAGTAATGGAGTAATACAGAGAGACCTTGTTAATACAAACCCGAGGACCAAGAAAATTGAAAAATCACCTTTTCTTTTCCCTTCAAATTGACACCCTGTTATAATCAGGGTGATAAAAGCAGTAGAATACAAAGAAATAGGACCAGCAAAATTGCTTTGTTATAACGGATGTCTGTTTAACATACCGGTGTTCTTTAGGAAGTGGTTCTACTGTACGGGCAAATCCTGTTACAAGGAAATGTAATAGATGGATCTCAGAAACATGGAATATTGTTTTAATAGTATGCAGGAAAACAACACAGGATACTTGAACTTTGTAGTGCATATCTCTGTATGTAAAGCTCATGTACATGTGTAGATGCAATCAAATGCATATGTAAAATGAGAAATTCTCCATATCACATATAGCTCTCCAAATCTCAATTCGTGTAGCACGCCATTTTTTTTTTGGCGTTCAAATTGCTTGGAAGGGTACCTCCAATGATCCTCATTACCAGGTCCCTCGGAGAGGACCTAAAGCCATCGGCCGTCTGGTTGCTTACTTACAAGCATTTATGCTTTCTTAGCAGTCAGGTAAAATAACCACCAATAACCAATTATATTGTACAACTCCAGGGACCCATTTCACAAAGCCTTTTTTCAATGACAAATGACAAAAATCAGTGACAATTCTGCTGATAACCAATCAAAAGCAAGGATTTCACTAGCTTATAACAAAAACTGTCATCTGTCACTGATGACTAGTTTTGTGAAATGGGGCCCAGAACTAGATGTATTAGCATGACAAATGCAAAAGATTCTTGTATGCAGTTACTATTTAGCTATTTTAATATACCAAGAATAGAAAGGGTCTTTTAGGTTGGGTCATTCTGAAAACAAAACTTTCAATATTGTTATGTGCGATTATTTAATTTAGTATACAATTCATTTGATAATGGTTAACTGATGGTAGACATTTGTGGATGCTTTACTAGGCCTTCACTATACACTTCTTACCCATTTAGATGACAACTTCTGCTCATTGTTGTAATTCTATAGTTATCTGTTTAGGAACCACCTTTTGTCATTAAAGGGAAGTTGCAATGAAGTGGAAAATACATGTATATAAAAACTATTCATAGTGCCCACTCCCATGAAATATTTCAATTTGATGCCCATTGTTAAGATGGGGTATCAAAGGTTTAATACTATGTCATTGAATAATTGAGCTTAATATATCGTCCTTGTTTTCATGAAGTGACGGTAGTGAGGAAAATCGTAACGCAAAGTGAATGCAATTTTTTTTCACTACCGTCACTTCGTAAAAACAGCGACGATATGGTACAATGTTCTCCAAAAGAGATATTGACTTGAAAAACGGAATGTTGTACTTTTAGATACATGTTGAAAATACTTGTAATACTTGACCACATGTAAATCAAAACCCAACATTGGGTTTAATCTTGGTCTGAAGTTAAGCTTAGCCTTTTCATTCACCTTTGCTCAAAGTAGAGCTTGTCCCACTGGTCATTGCTACAGAGCTAAAGATCAAGTTGTGGAGTCTGCCCTGCCCCCAAAAATGCCAACGCCACACAACTTCATGGATACGATGACCCATAATATCAATCTCAACTTAGAAGCCATTCTTAAGGTTGTGACTTAAAAGAGGGAGGGGTGATAAATATTGAATGCCATCTCGGCTGCGGCGTTCACATGATGAGAATGATGAATGTTAAGTTTTATGAAGAAAATTTAGACCAAGATCCAAGTGTTCCCTATGTGAAACATGATATCGAGCCAGCATTGTCTCAATGAATTTTCAGAATATAGACCTATATTTAAGATGGGTGTGTTTTTTTTTGGGGGGGGTGGGGATGTTGGTCTTATACCATATAAAATATGCTAGTTTTACAGATTTTGTAAAAATGTATTATTATGCTGAAGGTTGATTAAGTTTGTGTGCAGGAAAGGGGATATTATCAGGTGGTGCTTTTCATTCTCCAGTTTATGATTAATGAGATGATATCTAATATTTTTCATACAAGTATATTTATGGCTATTCTTTGTCAAACAGTCGCCTAGGTTTCTGTCAAGTGTAGGGCATAATGATACATTAAATACACACACACACACACATACATGTTTATATATATCGTCGCTGTTTTCGCGAAGTGACGGTAGTGAAAAAAATTGCATTCACTTTGCGTGACGATTTTCCTCACTACCGTCACTTCGTGAAAACAGGGACGATATATATATATATCCTCATGATGTAGTGAACATTGATAAAAAGAATATTGGTTATTGGAAGCTCTGAATCATTTGTCATCTTGTGAATTGAGATTGAAACGATATTTGTTAAACCAAATTAACTTTAACAGTGATGTATATACTTGAAGCAATAACACAACGAGAAAGGTATATGAAAACAGTTGAGTAAACATTGAACATTTATTTTTTACATCAAATTACTTGAATATGGGCTCAAGTTGAACCAACCATTGCTTTCTTTATATTAAAGAAAGAGGATAGCAAAATTTGGGATTGACGAATATGATTTTAATTGTTATAGACAGATGCAAACGTTTTGTACAAAGGAAGATGGGCACTAAAATGTTATAATATATTTTGTTAATCATTGTTTGAAAATGTAAAGAAGTAAAAGCTTTAGTTTACACAACAGATGGCAATGATGGTATTGATATGCAGCTCATGTTTAACATCAATTAAAAAAACAAAAACGATAATTAACGTTTTATTGATTTCAAAACACCTAATATACAAGGAAAATGAATCATACTTTAATATTTGTTCATGTACATGTAAGGTTTTTCTACTCCGAATACGACATTATCATCTCACTGAATCCTTCCCAGCTTTGTTAAGAACTGAAGAATCTTCCATTGTTACCAGATAAAAAATGACTTTGATTTTTTTAATGAATGCTAATGCTGCTGTGGATACTGTAGAAATCTGATCGCATTTTCCTCTTTTTTCCCCCCTTTTGATTGGCAGTAGGTTTTTAGAAATCAGAAGGATTCAGTATGAACATTTTTTTGTTTCTCAAGTAAAATAATGTTTAAACTTTTTATTGAAAATTGTCAAAAAGCCTATATCAAGAAAAACCTTGCACAGAAATGTGTATGATTTAATTTAGATATATATATATATATATATATCAATTATTGATTGTTTTAGTATTGTATTGATTTGGATGTTAAGGTTTACTAATCGTGATACTTGGACACTGTTTTTTTATATACAGAAAGCCAGACGATAACTTTTAAATAGTTTCATTTGGGCAATGACGAAAAATGTATTGCAGTGACTAAAAAAATATTCTTTTTTTAAAGCCCAGTGAAATGTGAACTGGTATTATTTGATTGTGATTGCATAACAAAGAAAACAAAATGTAGGCGTTTCCCACTTCAACACATTCAAAGATATTATTTTAATATTTAGTCGCTGAAATCATTGAACGCTTTTGAAAATATATGTGTAATTCAACTATTTCAACTTGATTTGAAATTGTTAGCATTGTTAATCCTCCAACAAACTTTACACTGGATTAGTTATAATCATTCTTACTCACAGTTTTACATATTGTTTGTAAAGGAAGTGTGTATGTGTATTGGGTTTTACAGACATGTATTAATCGTGTATGACCATTAACGTCTATTTAGTGACCTCTCTCCGCATCGTCTAAGAAACATGACTTTGTTTTGCCCCGGGGTCCATCAGCTTCAAACCGCCTAGAATAAAAACCAGTTTGTCAGGCAAAGAGCTGACTGCAATGCACATTTCTTTCCTGGAAACGTTTTGCTTGTTTGTTAGCATCAAAGCATCTATCAATAAGCAGCCATTCTGCAAGGTAATTATGACTATTGCTGAAGCAAGTGTAACTGAAATGTGAAAAGATATATTGGCTAATTCCTTTTTTTGAAATTTTTTTTTTTCCTTCTTTCTTCTAATAACATCCATTACCATTTCCAACATTACAGAGGGTTCTACTAAAAAAAGCATTTATTCTTCGTAGTATACCGGGCCATCTGCATCAACACAGTAGTGGGTTTCTAACTTAGAAAAAACTACCAAAATGATAGTTCACAAGAAATAGTAACCTTGGTGAACGTATTCATTTCAAATCTTCTTACAGAGTATTATTTTGTTTGCTGTTTAATATCATTATTTATCAACAAGTACAAATATATAGATTTGGTTTGGTGTAATACGACTTTAGAATGGTGTAGTTCAGAGGAGAACATAATTAGAATATGATGTGTAAATATTTTGTATATATATATATATATATATATGAAGCACAGACAAAGCATATCTCATGTCTATTGAAAAAACCAAATGAATTTATCGAGTAATAAAGATATCAAGTATTTCTGGAAGTAACCTCGTGTCTATAGCCTCTATACTATAGTGGGTAGTCGCATTTGGAGTGTCTCAGAATTTCCAGTGCATATAAAGTGCATATAAAGTACTTGTAAAATGTCACCAGAGGTATCAGAAAGAGGGTAGGAGCTGCAACAGCCCCCATAATAATACTCACATTTGTATAGCGCTTAATTTTAATTATTATTACCCCGGTCATTTGATTCAAACGCTTATCCTCAACTGGTTGTGCACACACTCCGCTCCCTGAGGAGTATTCCGGCCAGGTGCTGTTTTAAGAGGGCACATGGTGCCAATCCAACTACAGGAATGTTTGCATTCTACCGGGTTCCTATTTAATACCTGGGCAGGCTGGGTGGAGAGTGGGTGGAGAGTGGGTACATCATTGGGCCGTTGATCACATGGTTTGCGGATTAAGTCCTGCCGTGGTGCTTAGGTCCTTTGGCATTTAATACCTGGGCAGGCTGGGTGGAGAGTGGGTACATCATTGGGCCGTTGATCACATGGTTTGCGGATTAAGTCCTGCCGTGGTGCTTAGGTCCTTTGGCATTTAATACCTGGGCAGGCTGGGTGGAGAGTGGGTACATCATTGGGCCGTTGATCACATGGTTTGCGGATTAAGTCCTGCCGTGGTGCTTAGGTCCTTTGGCATTTAATACCTGGGCAGGCTGGGTGGAGAGTGGGTACATCATTGGGCCGTTGATCACATGGTTTGCGGATTAAGTCCTGCCGTGGTGCTTAGGTCCTTTGGCATTTAATACCTGGGCAGGCTGGGTGGAGAGTGGGTACATCATTGGGCCGTTGATCACATGGTTTGCGGATTAAGTCCTGCCGTGGTGCTTAGGTCCTTTGGCATTTAATACCTGGGCAGGCTGGGTGGAGAGTGGGTACATCATTGGGCCGTTGATCACATGGTTTGCGGATTAAGTCCTGCCGTGGTGCTTAGGTCCTTTGGCATTTAATACCTGGGCAGGCTGGGTGGAGAGTGGGTACATCATTGGGCCGTTGATCACATGGTTTGCGGATTAAGTCCTGCCGTGGTGCTTAGGTCCTTTGGCATGACATATTCTTTCTTGGAGAGATGTGTTATTTCTTAAAATAACCGTTGTGTAATTGTCCGAAACGTGGAGACCATCTTTTACTTTGAAACTGAAAGATCTAAAAATTCTTATCAGAACTATAACCACAACATGTATACCAATCAGATGAGCCTCTGTAAACATTCCCCCCGCCCCTCGCGGTGCTACGCGACTAATCGGGATATCTTACAACTTTGGAGCCGGGATGATGACATGCGAGTCCTTCGGAGCGCTCTTGCAGAACTCGTCCCACGATCCGTCGTAGATCGCCACGTCCTCCTTCCCGACCACGTAGGCCGCGAGCGCGATCGTGCACGCGCTGATGCCCACGAAACACGAGCTAACGAGAGGCTGTGTGAGATCGATACCCGCCGATTGAAAAAGTTTGAGAATGTCTTCCCGCGCTACCATGCGGTCGCTATCACTACGGACCATGCTGCTGAAAGGAACGTTGATCGACTTCAGGATGTACCCCAACGGCAAGTCTAGAAACAGAAAAGCAAAACAAATATTTGAATCAGTTATATGGAGCTTTGTCTTTCTAGCTTTCTTAGTCTTAAAATCCCTTTCGCCCTTTTCTTTTCATTTGTTGTCCTTCTTTTTATCGCTCTTTATATCTTCTTAACATACTTTGATTTTGTTTTTCGCATCATCTCATTTTCTTCCGTTCTAGACTAGAAAATCCATCTTTTCCTACTACTTTCAATTTACATAATTTGACTATGTTTGATATTTACCTCTACTTCTTACTTATATTTTTACCATTAATTCTAGGTCTACGTCTTTTTTTATGTCTACTACTACTTCTACGTCTATTTCTACGTCTACGTCTATTTCTACTTCTATTTCTACGTCTATTTCTTCTTCTACTACTACGTCTACTTCTACGTCTACTTGTACTTCTACGTCTACTACTAATTCTACGTCTACTGCTACATCTACTACTAATTTCTACTTGTACTTCTACGTCTACTACTAATTCTACGTATACTGCTACTTCTACGTATACTGCTACTTCTACTTTTATTTCAACGTCTACTTCTGCGTCTTCTTCTATGCTAATTCTACTACTGCGTCTACGTCTACTTCTACGTCTACTACTACTTCTATTTCTACGTCTACTTCTATGTCTACTTCTATTTCTAATTTGCTACCAAGTCTATTTCCACTTCTACGTCTACTTCTACGTCTACGTCTACTTCTACTTCTACGTCTATTTCTACTGCTACTTGTATTTCAACGTCTACTTTTTACATCTACTTCTACTTCTACGTCTTCTACTACATCTACTTCTACTTCTACATCTACTTCTACTTCTACATCTACTCCTTCACTTCTACGTCTACTACTACTAATACTGCTACTTTTACGTCTACTGCTACAACTACTTGTAATACTATGTCTACTTCTACGTCTACTACTACTGCTACTATTACTTCTACGTCTGCTTTTACTGGTACTATTATTTTACGTCTACTTCTACGTCTTCTTCTACGTCTACTTTTACGTACTAAGTTTAAATCTACGTCTACTACTACTTCTACGTCTACTACGTCTATTTCTACTTCTACGACTACTCCTTTACTTCTACGTCTACTACTACTTATACTGCTACTTCTACGTCTACTGCTACAACTACTACTTCTTCTACTACTTCTATGTCTATTTCTAATCCTACCTCTACTTCTACTTCTACTTCTACGTCTACTTCTACGTCTACTTCTACGTCTACTTCTACTTCTACTTCTACCTCTACTACTGCGTCTACATCTACAACTACTTGTCCTACACTGTAAAAAAATAATAGTCGAAATAACTTAATAAAATTGAGGAAAAAATTGCCTTATTTTTATTAAGTTAATATTACCTACGGCATCTTAAGTAGAATTTACTTATTTTGCTGAATACATTTTTACTCAGTTAAATCGAGTTACATTAATGTAAATAATTTAAGTATTATAATCATTTTAGATAATTTAAAAAAAAAACTATGATAGGATTACATATTGCACGATTTGGTACCCATCTAATCTAACAAGTAACATCCACTACTTCTATTTAAGATTAATCACTAATCACTCTTTAAGATTTAACCGTATATATATATATATATACCACCATCACAAACTATTACATACGCTTCAATTCGACACATATTGAAAGGCTCCAAATTTTATATATACTTGATCGTAGCATCTTAAAAGGAAAATTGGTTGACAATTTCCTGAAATATCAAGTTTTGATTTGTTTTGAACTGGGTAACAATTAAAAATTGTCTTGTCTTTGCTTAGCCATGTTAAATGAATTAGTAAATGTTTTAAAGTCCTTAAATTTTGATTCAACCACAAAAAAGAATAGTTTTATTTAAAAAAGAGTTTAATTTGGTCTTAATGAATATTTATAAATTATGTAAATACTTCTATTACGCACTGCATCGGTCCTTACTTTAAAAAGATAAAAAATAATCAACATAAATTGTTTGAGTAATACGTATAATTTCTGATTTTGAGTTAAAATTACTAAATTAATACAAGCTGCAATTACATAAAGTTCTTATGTATTTGATTTTACTTAAATATTCCACGTATGTTCTACTAAATTGAAAGTTTGAGTTAGCATGACTTAAATTTAGTGCGTAAGTGGCAAAACTAATGTTTTCAAGTAAATTCTACATGGAAAAAATACGTAAAAATTACCAATGAACAAATTCTTTTTTACAGTGTAGTAAGTCTACATCTGCGTCTGCCGCTACTTCTACTACTGCGTCTACGTCTACTTCTACGTCTACTACTTATACTGCTACTTTTACGTCTACTGCTACAACTACTTGTAATATTATGTCTACTTCTACGTCTACTACTACTTCTACTTCTACAACTACTTGTGCTAGTAAGTCTACATCTGCGTCTGCTGCTACTTTTACTACTGCGTCTACGTCTACTTCTACTTCTTCGTCTACTGCTACAACTACTTGTACTATTATGTCTACTTCTACTACTACTGCTACTTCTCGGTATCCTTCTACGTCTATACTTCTACTTCTACGTCTACTTCTACTTTTACGTCTACTTTTACGTCTACTACTACGTCTACTACTAGTCTTCTACGTCTAGTCTAAATCTACATCTACGTCTACTGTTACTTGTACTTCTACGTCTACTTCTACTTCTACCTCTAATTCTACTTCTATTTCTATTTTCTATTTTCACGTCTACGTCTTCTTCTACTTCTACTTCCATATAATTCTGCGTCAAAGTCCTTTTTAAACTCTACGTCTATGGCTACTGCTACAACTACTTGTACTATTATGTCTACTTCTACTACTACTGCTACTTCTCCGTATCCTTCTACGTCTATACTTCTACTTCTACGTCTACTTCTACTTCTACTACTACTCCTACTACTACGCGTACTTCTACGTCTACTACTAAGTCTAAATCCACATCTACGTCTACTGCTACTTCTACTACTTCTTCTACTACCAATTCTACGTCTACTGCTACTTGTACTTCTACGTCTCCTTCTACTTCTACTTCTACCTCTACTTCTACTTCTATTTCTATTTTCTATCAACTTCTTCGTTTCTTCATTTCTGTTAACCTCTTCACATCTTTCTCTGTTTTAAAAAAAAAAAAAAAAAAAATTTTTTTTATTCATGATACGTGTCTAATCCTTCTTACAGTTCTAATCATTCTCTTTCTCTTACTAGGCCAAATAGAATCCATACTGCCGTCGAACCATTCCGGTTGCCTACAATCAATCAAAGTGAAATTATCCGTCTTCTGGTTTTCCAAAACCTCATCGAAATTCTTGAGGAGACTGGGGTTAGCCGGCTTTGCCGAGAAAACCCGCTGGTCGACCACCGACTCGTCCCCGCTCTCGACTGCGTAACCATCTTCCTTCCACTGCTTTAATCCTCCATCCAGAACCGACACCTTTGGCAATGTTTGTAAGTGGGTTTGAAGGGGGAAATGAGAAATGCCAATATTTTTCTTTCATACATGAATTTCAACATAATTTCTGTACATTCATTATCATTACTATTTTTGCGTTGATTTCAAAAATGTCGTTCGAGATGAGAGAACTTTATTAAAAAAAGAGGAGAACGAAATTACATATTGAAAATACTAATATAATAATCTTAATTTATATGGCACTTGATACGAAATACCGTCTCTAATAGTATTGCTTTACATATATTATCCCAGCCATCAGATTCATTCGCACATAATGTGCACCATGTCCACTCCCTGGGTAGTATTCCTACAATAATTATGGTCACCGTAAGGGCATATGGCTATGACTTAAACAAAGGCTTTCGTCATCCTATCGTGTCCCCATTTATCTCCTGGGTATGGAGTGGAAAATGTAGGTTAATGCCTTGCCAGAGGACATTAGTGCCATGTCAGGGGTCGAACCCACGACCTATGCATATCAAATCAAGTGCTTAAAATATTCGACTATATGACACCTCTACACGATAGAGAAATAAAGAAAGAAGGTCTTAATATATGACTTCAAATTTAACGACAATTTTGTATTTTTTATGCAAAATGATCAATCAAATCTTAAATTGATCTTGCCAATGGCTCTCCTTTATCATTTGCAGCCCCCCCTCCCCCCTCTCCCTCCCCCTTATCTCTCTCTCTCTCTCTCTTTCTCCCTGCCTGTATCTTTCTCTTGCTATCCTTTTCTGTCTATCTCTCGTTTTAACTAAATAGCCCGTCACAGTATTATTCCTCTCAGTTTTATTCATTTCACTGTCTATTTCTATTTTCCCCTTCTTCCTCTTACATTTCCCTGTTTCACCCCCCTCCTGTTTCTCTCTCTCTCTCTCTCTCTCTCTGTCTCTTTCTCTTGCATCCCTTTTCTGTCTATTTCTCGTTTTTACTAAATAGCCCCTCACAATATCATTCCCCTCAGTTTTATTTATTTTACTCTTTATTTCTATCTCCCCCTTCTTCCTATTTCATTTCCCTGTTTCAACCCCCGTCTTCTCCTTATGCCGCGGTCATACCTTATCATGACCAAACAGTCTGAACATCCACCATGTCCGCGGTGCTGACATCATACGGAATATTGGGTCATTCTCGTACACGATGACGTGGGTCTCGTTGTCGATGCCGAGCTCACCGACGTACCTGTCATTCAACGAAAACTGGTAATGCTTCTTTTCAATAATGCCTTCCGCGATTGCTGATATCGTATACATTTTATTTTTAGACAATATTATTAGTACACCCGTTCAAAGAGTATACGATAAAGTAAACGCGACACTTTATTATACCAACTTCGCTTGTCCTATACTGTTTGAAAAAAAAAATACATACCGGAACAAACTAAAATGCACAAAGCATAACAACAACACAAAACAACTATCTGTAATGAGGTCATAGTTTTTTTTCTTTTTACAACGTTCTCAAATTCATAAATTTCATAAATCCCATAAGAATTTATATTGCAATGCCTTTGAATAATTATTTGAAAAAAATGATAAACGTATATGTTATTATATCAATTTCATCTACATCTACGTTGATTACCAAGTGTTTAGAACGTCACATCCGGTGTAAGGTGAACATTGCCTCATCGTTTATTATTACTCATTACATATTACTTATTAAAACAAATTTAACTTCAAAAAACGAAAACTCGAAGAAAAAAGGAAGAAAGAAAACAAGACAATCTATAGGGGCGGGTAACAAAAAGACGACGTTGGGCTAGTTACAGCTTGTACCAGCAATAGATGATAGAGCCCATATCGAACGGAGGTGGGGGGGGGGGGGGGGCTAATATCAAAAGAGATAGAACGATCTATATATACCCTCTGGCAACTAAACTCTAACGCCCCTTTTTTTTAATATATAATTTCTTTGTAATATGAGGAATGGCCGAGATAAGTGGTCAAATGGGTGTGCGCAGTCCATACCCGTTCCTCTGCCTGCTTCTTTCAAAACTCCAATTAAACAACAACAAACAAGAACATCCCGTTCCCTGAAAACACAATCAAAATAATTATGATAAGGAAATACCTGCATTACAAAGTAAAATATGGTTTTATTACATCGCTAGAGTAGATCTTTGTTGATTTATTTAGTCAAGAGTAGAAAATATTACATCTTACTATATCCGTCCGCCCCCCCCCCCCCCATTACAGAAGCAACACAACACACTCTTTAGTATCATCCAGACGACATTTTCCGATTGTATTTGACCTTTAGAGTTCAAAGGCATGACCCCAGCGTACAATTTTCCATTCTCGCACCTGCTCGCACCCGCAATGCACGATATACAGTGCGTCCATGCAGCAAAAACGAAATCGAGAATTATCCATGTTTTATCCTAATTAAATCACAGTTATAATTAATTAATAAATGACACATATTTGTAAAGCTTAGATCCTCTTCTTTCATTTGATGCAACTCTTATGATGCATATTTCACGCATGAGTGATTAAAAACAATTTGAAGAGAGGAAACCAAAAAGTCATTTGGATTTGAATTTCAAGGAAGGAATCACATTTCTAGAAAGTTTAATTTCTGCCCTTTCATATGACACCTTAATCAGGAAAAATGAGCCAGGAATAACAAAGTTCTGTTCCGCGTTTAAAGTAGTGCTTGCATTTCCATAATTTGATTAAATGAGTTCGTTTTCACTGGCTAATTGCTGTAGCAACAAACAGGGTTGACAAAAGAAGACGAAAGACTTGATGCGTGGCTGATCGTCAACGAAACGGATTTAAGTCTTTTGTTAACTCTTTTTGTTGCTACGGCACGCAGCCAGTGCAAACGAACTCGTTTAATCAAATTATGGAAATGCGATTTTAAAATCAATTGTAAATAAACGTGCAATATTATTATTCAGAAATTTCAAGTCTGGATCCTTTGTCTGCTTCAGTTGATTAAGTCATGGTTAAGTCAATAAAGTAAAATTACCACATACTTCGAAGAGCTGAGATGTGTGTGCGACTTAACAGACGATTTGATGATTATTTCACTTACTTTGCAAAGTTTTCGGCGGACGGGAGTGTGAATTCAAGGCGGGAAGTTTTATCTCGGCACTGGTTGAGATCGAAATGGACCGACCCAGGTACGTGTTCGGTCTGGTAGGCGTCTCGGCCCTCGGTCATGATACCCAGCCACGTGGCATCGATCACACGTAGTGTGCATGACGTCGACGATGATAACGATGACGACGGCGAAGTTTGTTCACCTAGAGCATCGCTCAACCATTTTGTGCTCACCAGCGGTGCGGATGCAGCCATGTTTAGACTGATTCAGTTTTGTGCACTGAATAGTGTGTATAGCAAATGAGCGAAAGAAGAGGCTGGCACTGCATATCAGACAGATCATTTATGTATGTCCTTTTATCTGTTTACAAGTTGTGTTTGCCCAGCGCGATTGTGCGTCTTCACTTATCTCACTGTTATGTTAAACCTCAGTCACACCCACCTCCAATCCAGACAGTGTATCCAGGTGATAAACATTGTGTAGAGCATTTTCCTCGCACCCCAAAGAGCTTCACAATAGGCTATTTTCGTAATATAATCAAATTTAATGAACAAATCTTTGTTAAGTACCTCGTTACAAAAGATTTCATGCATTCACCTGGTACGAATAACATGTTAGGCTATATTCCAATGGCCAGAATTCGAATTGCATATTATACAGGCTCGCTATTGTTAAGTAGCACAAGCCGTAAATGTTTGTCCAACCTGCATACGTTCACAGTAACTGTTGACACGCTGTGAACGTCGACCATAATACGCCGTCAGACTTGAGTTGAGAGGAATTTAAGTTGGCAGGCTCGATCGGAGAGAGAGAGAGAGAAAGAGATAGAGGGTGGGGTCGGTGGGGGTGGGCTTCGGTGGGCTGTACAACTGAAGAACTCGAGCCGCTACAAACGACCCCATATCGACTCCACACCGACCGATCGCTGTTCGCCGTTGGAGATAACGTGACCGGTCTCTTGTTGGACTGCTGTTGGTCTCGTTGGTGTGAATCGGGTATATTAGGGACTTTTAGATTCGCACGAAGACAATAGGTCTATGCTACGATCGACGTCCTTGTAATGCACTGCCTTGAATGGACGTCACACGTATCAGTCCACGCAAATCTAAAAGTCCTTAATATGGACGACGAAAACTACAACGAAAAAATATCACGGATATGAACGGGGTTTGTTATATAAATAAATGCACAGAGCTGTAAATAATGTGGACATGCTTCAAACGCGATCACACATCGTTGTGTCAGGAAGAACTTGGAGTAAAACAGGGGCAATATTACCATAGCATTGGAATTTGAGACTGGTAAAAAAAGGATTAAGGTATGAAATACGACTGATTTAAAGCATAGTAAGTTTAGTAATGTAGACCTGTTTAAATCGATGGATGTTAATACCGAAATCCCTTGCTCCCGAATAACTAAATTCACACTTAACATCTACGGGTGAAATGTGGCTTAAACCTGTGTTATTGCTATTGCTATGTCGGTGAGCCTTTGGCAAGCTCTCAGTACGTCATTGGGAGTAGATTTCGTGCAAGAAATAGGCAAGAAACGGAATATATAGCCTACTTCAAAGATAAAATGAAATACGTTAGTAAACTAACCGTTCTATAGGAAGGAGAAAGAGAGATCGAGAGAGAGAAAGAGAGAGAGGGGGTGGAGAAGAGTGATTAAGAGAGAGCGGGCGACAGTTAGGAAGTGTGAGAGAGAGAGAGAGAGAGAGAGTGTGTGTGAGAGAGAGAGAAAGAGAGAAAGAGGAATTGTTAGTAAAAAAAAATACATCACTAAATATTAAACGAATGTCATTACCAGTGTATTATATCGAGAGACCGAGTATTATCAGGTAAGGTATATTTATAGGTGCATCATTAGTCATTTTCTTTATAAACAAAAAGCAGTGTCGTTCAACAAACTAAATATACTCGTAGGCCTAGTTGAAGCGCGATCGAGTACGTGGTAACTATATTAAGGCCTAAACAAAAAGATATTGTATTCCCGGGTTGTATTGTGCCAAAACATGGGTCGGTCGTTCGGCAATCTTTTTTTTCTTCTCTGCTCTATGGGCTGATATTTCTCAGTTTTGAATAAAACTACTTTGTCCCATTTGCAGGTAAATAAAATGAAAACGTTAAATTCCAACGGCATTTAAAATACTTATTTTAGAACTTCCCTCAAAACAAAAGGGTTTGAAAAGGCTTTTTGTGGGAAAATATCGACCAATGATAGTTGTCGAATCGACATAAGTGATTGCAATCACCCAAGTAATAGTCTAATTTTCAGACCCTTGTACCGGCCGAATGGTCGTATATTTTGTGCTGCACAAAGATTCAATCAGTTTAATTTTGGCTGTTACAAGTAGTAGGTTATTGATGTGGACAAATGGTCATGTATCTGTTACAGCTCATTTTATGTATGTAATTACCAAAGAAAAAAGATGTCAGTCAGTCACTCAAAAGTGTCTGACAGGGAAATCTAGAAGTAAACGGATTTCCTTGCATAATGAATACAAAGCCACTGCTAACGTTTAAATTTCACAGATAGGACATGCATGACACATTCATAATTCCTGCAAAGTTCTACAGAATTTGATGTTGGCTGCAAAAAGGACATAGTAAAAAAAAAAAAAAAATAAATAAAAGCCGACCGTAGATTTCTAAATTGTGGGGTCGCAAAGGGCAATACGACATCTTTATTTTAACGCCTAATAGAGCTCGGTAACAGCTTTGATTTTGTGATGATGCGGGTAAAACCTATCGAAATCTTTAGCGGATCCAAGAGGCACGAGTAACTTCCCCACCCCCGCAAGGTTCCCCTTTGCGAACCTTAAAACACCAACTAACGAAAAAGACTAAAGTTCCCCCAAACCTGTTCCCCACGGCAGATGATAGCCTCCTTTTGTATGTCTTCTTGGCACTTTTTTAAAGAAATGTGCTCCACCCTCGCCCCAAATCCTAGATCCGCTATTGACTGGAAATGGTTACACATGTTGCCCTTTTACATGATATTAATATAAATTCGTATCTGTATTATGGCTCAGTTTTCCCAGGGTTAGAAACGTATACATACTACTTCAAGGAACTTGTAAGATAATTTTGTTTAATGACTTTCATTTCAATTGGAGAAATCATACAAACAATACAAACCAAGTAGCAGGTTTAAATCGGTGCGAAAGCGAAGCACGTCCAAATATCAAGTATAGTTGAAGAACGATATGGCATCATAGGTCTATTTATATACATCGAAAACTGGTCGATAACAGCTAAACATTATAGTGGGCTTTATCTAAAGGCTGTTAATATTTTAAGAATTTTAAGAATATAATCTTCTGTCTTCTGCAAGATGTAATAAATAAGAGCATATATAATCATGTCGCGTGCATATGAACATTTGGTCTTCTTGTATTATTTTTCGTTCATTTAATATAACTATTAAGGATTAAACTTGATTGGTACAATATTCAAAATGCACATAAATATGCATTAGAAGAAAATGGTTTCGCAAGAAAAAAGGTTCTTGTCTCAAGTTACCATAAATATGCCGTTAAATCGAATGAGAACCATCATAATCATAATAAGGACTTTTAATCTAATTGTTACTTTTAAAGTATGGAAGAGACCGTCGTAATCGAGGAAAACAAGTATTGAAGTGCCTATTATGAGCGACGGACAAGCCTTCTCGTGGCCTCGCACAGATTGACTGAAATGTGAATATGAACGGGCCTATGTCTAAAATACATAGAAGTATAATATAAGGCGGGGGACGGGAAGGGGGCTGGGGCAGGGCACTAGCCCCCCCCCCCCCCCGAGAATGTTAAAATTTACAATAATCATTCGAGCACCCGTCGGGTAGGCGTGAGGTAGGTTTGATATATTAATCATTTTGATATCTCAGGTTAATATATTATGTACTCAAAGTGTTTATTTTTTTGTTTTTATACATACTACAACTTCAGGGGCACTTGGCAGAGACTCGCATTTATTTTGTCCTGTTTTGAATGAAAATATCTCAAGACTGTACCATTCTCCTTTCTTTCTAATTTTCAATTTCAACTCTGTCCTAATTCTCTATCCCTCTCCTCCAATCTTTCGTATATTCTCTGATCAACTTTTCTTTTTTCTCCTTCCTTCTCTTCCTCTTTTTAGTTCCGTCTCTCTCTCTCCTTTCTTTGTAACATTTGATGACACAGAAGTTTTTAAAGTTTTTAATATTTGTAATATATTTCGATTTTGATGTAATATTTGAGAGATTTATTGTTTCATTATACATGATTAATGGTTGTAGGTTTTAGTCATTCATATTTTGACCATATTTTATTGTGCTGTACATTGACTTTGTAAATTGAGCAATTACAGCTGTCCAGCTGCATGTTCTTTTATTGCAATAAACCGAATCAATTCAATTTAATTTAATTAAATTTGTCCTACAATTTCGCATGCTCACGAAAAGGAACTATCTTCTTTCCTTTTGTTTTGCTAGCTAGCTCGCACGGTATATTATTACGGCAGGAAATTTTATCCTCACCCCCCCCCCCCCCGGCTCCCCGACAAAATTTGTGCTCGAACGTTAATGTTAAAGACTGATTCAAGTCAAACTGAATGATTATCGTTTACATCAAGATCAAATAAAAATCTTATATCACTGCCTATCTGCTTATGGACATGATGGAATATTTTTTTTTATTCGATTTGATTTCTGCATGTTTAAAAACACAATAACTGAATAAGAAAGAACATGTATAACACGTAAGGTATAATACAAAATGCAAACAATGATAAATTCATGTCAAAATGCGATTTACATAATATGAATTTACGCAATTTACGCAATCAAGCTAGTCTCGATGAAGCCTGCAATAGGTTGGAAACATGTATAGGCGAGTTGAGTCGATGGATGTCAAGCAATATGCTGAAACTTAATGAAGACAAATCGGAAATCATCATTCTGTCATCCAGCAGACTCCGCCCTTCAGGTGATCTGAGCCTGCAGATTGGAAACGCCACTGTTGATCCATCAACAACTGTTAAAAATCTTGGTGTTTATTTTGACCAGACTTTGTCAATGTCGGAACATGTTCGTAGAGTGTGCCAGGTGGCCAATTTCCATATGAGAAACATATGTCATGTGAGAAAGTACCTTACAGGTGAAGCTTGTAGTCATGCAGTACGTTCTCTAGTTTTGAGCAGGCTTGATTACGGTAATTCCCTTCTGGCAAATGTGAATGCCGGGGATTTAAAAAGACTTCAAAAAATTCAAAATCGAGCGGCTCGTCTGGTGCTTGGTGCAAAGAAAAGAGAGCCAAGTGCTCCTCTGTTGAAGCAACTACACTGGCTTCCCATCAAACAGCGAATTGAATTCAAACTAGCACTTTTAGTGTACAAGTGCTTAATGCATTCTGCTCCACACTATCTGTCTATCATGCTTACTACTCCTCCAGTTTCCAGATATTATCTGCGTTCACGGAACGATCAGACACTATTACTGATCCCACGCACCAACACCAAGGCAGCCGAACGCTCATTCTCTTATGCTGGACCATCCACCTGGAACACTCTACCACAACACCTCCGCCTATGTAGTACAGAAGACACTTTCAAAAAGAAACTTAAAACCCAGCTCTTTCCATCTTGAATCCATAATGTACATTTTGAGTAGCTAAATTTTCTTTTTGTTCATAATATCTTAATTACTGTTCCTTGTTTAATTGTTATGATTTGTATGTCTCTTTTCTGTTGTATAGCGCTCTGATCAGTTTGTCTGTAGTAGCGCTCAATAAGAATCAATTATTATTATTATTATTATTATGAAAAACTTGATGTTTCTATTTCTATAGTGTCGTGGTCGAGTGGTTTAAGGCGCTTAACTGGAGATACGAAGGTCGAGGGTTCGAATCCCGACACGACACTATTATCCTTTGGCAAGATATTTACCTGCAACTAGCTACTCTTCACCCAGGTATGCTCCCCAGCGAGGGGAAATGTGCATACATTGTGTGCGGGTAAACCTGAATCCGATGACCGGGGTAATATATTATATCTGTAAAGCGCTTATATAGTCACATCGTTGTATCGATGTATTGGGCGCTATATAAAAGCGGAATATTATCATTATAGTATTATGAATTTAAAGTAGTATCCAAACTATCTGTGGGAAAGTGCAGGAGAGCGCCATCATAAGCGACGCTTGCCTAGGATGACGGTATATCAGGGATACTTCAAGGTTTGACTTTTTCCTCATAAATTGTCATGGAATCCCCGGGACCCCTCTGGGAATATTCGTCCCACGACCCGTCGAACACCGCCACGTCTTCCTTCCCGACCACGAAGGCCCCTAGGGCCAGGATGCAGGCGGTGACCCCGACGAAGCAGGTCGAGGTCAAAGGTCGTGATAGGTCAATGCCATTTGACTGGAAGAGGGCCCTGAGGTCATCGGCTGACTTGAACTTGGTGGAGTCTTCGAGGAGGACGTTGGGGAAGGGGATGTTCAGTGCCATCTTCATGATGCCTAATTTTAAACCTGGGTAAATAAAGTAAAATGAAACCTTGATTAACACGGTCGTAAACATTTTCGAGAAATCAGCTCAAGAACTATTTCATTAGCCTACTACCTACAGAAATCATTGTCAGGTTATGCAATACGTCACTCTAACGTTCGCACGATTCAAATGAAGATGCACGTGGCTATCAAAATTGTCTTCGGATGGGAATTTTTCTTCTTGAAATTATTAATTAGACATAAATACATTGATTCTTATTGAAACCTGCATTAAAGAACCCTAGATAGCCGTATGTAGATCGGCATATAACGACTACCATCTACAAGTTTTGCTCCTGTTAATTTTCCACAATTATGTAATGACAAAAATGTTGAGCTAATGAGATAAAGATATATTACAGAAAGGAAGGCTGCTGCTATATTATAATATGATAAGGGAAGAGGGTCACGGATGGAAGGGAGAATGGGACTAAGAAAGAGAGGGGGGGGGCATAATGACATTACCTGGATAAGCGGAAGGCATTGATCCATCATACCAGTCCACGGGACGACTGTCCATCAACTGGAAACTGGGTTCCTTCACGTTCTGCAAGACGTCATCGTAGTTCTTAAAGATCTCAGCTCGCGTCTTCGTCACCTTAAAAGTCGCCGGCTTAGGTGACGGCGTCGCTTCATCGGTCACCGCTCGGTTCTCGGCTATCCACTGCTGGAGCCCGCCGTCGAGCACCGACACGACACCGTGATCGAAATAGCGGAACATCCACCAGATCCGAGGCGCCGACATGATCTTGTAGAACAGTTCGTTCTCGTAAATGACCACGTGTGTGTCCTTGTCGATCCCGAGGGTCTTCCCGACGAACTCGGCGAAGAACTCCGGGGTAGGCATGGTGTAGTAGTAGGTGGTGTCCTTGTCGCGGAGCTGGTCGAGGTCGATGTGGAGACTGCCTGGAATGTGTTGCTTGTCGTGGGCGTCCCGGCCTGCGCTCGCAGGACCGGGTCGGTACGTCGCATCAAGGACTCGAAGCGGTCTTCCATCCGGGGTCTTCTGCGTCCTCAGAGCTTCAGCCAACCACTCCGTGCTCACCAAGGCTGGGACTTTCCCCTCCGATGACGTCATGGTGTTCCGCTATACGCTATTGTACATTAAGATGAATTAAGTCAAGGGATGTTGAATATTTTGAATTTGAAATCATATAAACAACAATATCATGAGAAGTATCAATTACTTGAATTGTACTTATTACGACAATTCGTCATCATATTCTTCGAGTAATGATAATGATATGATAATAATATTAATATTACTTAATTCTTTACATTGTCATTTTTATTACCCCGGTTATTGGATTCAATTGATAATCTGCATTATGATAACTCACACGCTCGGCTCCCCGGGGAGTGTTGTTTGTTTGATTGACTTTATTTCTGCATTCAAATAACAAATACAAGGTTATACATGTTTACATAAGTATTACATACATAGCAAATGTTGTCCAATAATATTATACAATAACCATAATACAAAGCATACAAACAAGTATAACGGATATATTGTTCATTGAACTAAAGAGATAAATTTGAGAACACAGGAGACCGCCATCGTGATCGCGGTTAGGCTGGAAACGGATGCCTCATGAAAGAAAGAAAAAAAAATTCCGACAAGTAGAGAACGTGTTCAAGCTCTCAAGCAGATATTTTACATGATGATCGCAAATTTTCTCTGATTATTATGGGGTCAGCTTGTCTGAAATATACACTGGGACAGTTCCATGCATTGTCTTACATGTTAATAAAATAATGTACGTTGTATTCATTTCTTCGTTTGACAGGAATTCAGTGCTGTGCAAGAAGACAGTGTAGGGATTGTGGTCGAGTGGATGCGTCGCCGTACTGTCGATCACAAGGTCCGCGGTTCGAGTGCCGCCGCCGCACTAATGTCCTTTGGCAAGACATTGATCTACATTTGACACACTCCACCCAGGTGAAGTAAATGGGTACCTGGTAGGAATTTATTCCTTGAAATTGAAATGCTAGAGCGCCGTATGGCAGCCGTGCTAAATCCAGGGTAATAATCGGGAGCGCCAGTAGGGTCAAATCTGACTGACATGAGCGCTATATATATATATATATATATATACAAGAACCCACTATTATTATTATTATTATTATTATTATGATGATGCGGAACTTTCTTATCTCCTGTCAAGTGTCTAAACCACTGGAGTACAACTCTTAGAATGATGGTAGGGCATAATGGGTTAAGCATTATACCGTAATATCGGGTCGAGCTAGGGGTGATTCTACTACACGATCGCAACTATACATACTCACAAAAATATAACTTGGGCAATTTCAATTAGCCTTGGTGTCAACCTATTAAAATGTGCAAACATGATACGACGTATTACGTAATCCGAACATGATTTCTATGGGATATATACAATAGGGCATGAAATTGCCCTTGATGTGATTTTTTCAAAAACTAGTAAGACTGTTATGAATCATAATAGTCTTTTTGAAAACTACATGGGGTATGGACTATGTTGCGTGTTAACTAGTAATCCCACATAATTCCCCTTTTTAATTAAACTACTAAAAAGCAGTATCCCTCCAGACAAGAAAACACTTAATTAATGATCACATCCAGACAAATTGATTATGGTTAAAAACTGGTTCTATATTCTATAATTTCACATAAGATACAATGATTACAGAATTATCAGAAACCTCTTCTGTCTATCTCAACAGTGACAGACAAGTATCACTAGGCCCTTGGTAGTTACTATTAATAATCAAACATAGATAACTTCCAACAGCACATTAATGTAAAGGAGACTCAACTTAGTCACTATGGTATTAATGATTACCGCTGAATACAAGTCTCGAAATATCAGGAGTCTAGCTGTTCAGTACAACTTAAAACAGTACTAAAACAAGTCAGTTAAATATCATTCACACTGCATGAATAATAACAGTCAAGAAAATACTACTCAAATCTAAGCTAGACAGCGTTTAGATTTACTTACATAGGCACGAAATATTGTGGTTCAAGAAACCGCTAAACAAATCTCTACTTGTGTATGTGTACGGAATGCACAACACGAGAATACAACAATATATCGGTGGATCTAGACTATAGCAGATCTAGATCAGTAGACCAGGCATAGGCCTAGAACTAGTGCAATTATAAACATGTAAAATATGTGTTAGTAAGCGTACGCACTCAACAACAGGCACTCAGTCAGTCAAAATAAGGCCTCACAATGATAAACAATGCAAAGCATAAATCACAATATAATTAACGTTACGTGAGTCATTGGAGTGGAATTCAAAGTAGATCTAGATCTTCTTCAAGTTCTAGGTAGATGTAGAAACTAGCTAGTCGAAAACAGTGGTCGACGAGCTGGTTGTCGATCGCGTAGGATATGCAGACGATGATCGACGCTAGGTGAATACCACGATGATGAAGACGATGTTGAAGACAACGATGATGACAACAATGATGAAGACGACGCTGGTGAAGACAGCGATGATGAAGTCGACGATGAAGACGACGCTGGTGAAGACAGCGATGATGAAGACAACGGTGATGAAGACAACGATGATGAATCAGTTAACAGATGAATACAATGATGATGCAGTCAATGTCAATAGATCAACTTCAGTGACTTGCGATGCAGGTCGAAGAATCAAATGTCGAGACAATATATATGAAGTCGATGATAAAAGGTTGTCAAACAATAATGCAGGTGAGAAAAACGTTAGATCATATTAAATGTTCTATTCTCACTGCTGGTGAATTAAAGTGTCGTCAATGTTGAACATCGAGAGAGTCAAAATATATCTTGCAAAACGTACAAGATGTAAATAGGTGAGCACGTCCACCGGGAATGGTCCGGGGACGTAGCAGTTCAATCCTCGTTGGATACAATTTTCTAGGTACAATAATCGACACAATAGCAGCATGTGTGTATACCAATATTAAAACAGCTCACTGATTCCCGCACAGGAAAATCAGAAGAGCGCCAATCAACTACAGCGCGATTGGTTCAAAACAAGCGCACATGTATGTTAATAAGGCACGTGATCTAAATACTTATGAATAAATACGCGTACATCTATGTTAATTGGTCATGTGATCAACATACTAATGAATAAACATCGTTATATAATAAATCGAGTTAAAACCAGTTCTGAGGACATGGCGTAATACCAAATCCTCGAACTCTCAATGACTTCTAAAGCGGCCATTTTGGATTAAAAACACAATATGTATACCAGTGAATTATAAATGAATGCACTGTAACATTTGTCGCTACATTAACCCCCCTACTAGACCCGAGCTTGCGTAAGCTCCGAGGGGCGAAAATACACAATTAAAAATATAAAGGAAACATATGTACAAAATACATTAATATACATGAAAATAACCACTATTTATGCGACACGTTCAATGTAGTGAACCTGAACGTACCTTTCCGGCCAGTGGACGTGGCGGCCTGAACGTGTGACACGCGCAGCAGGTTGCGATTTCACCAGAGCAGGAGCAGGCGTAGGAGCAGGTGCAGGAGCAGGCGCAGAGGTTGCGCGAAGTGCTGTGCGCAGAGGGGAGGAGACGGTAGGCTCTCCCTCTAGAGGCACGTCAGCCGCGGTAGTCCTAGCCGAAACGCTTTCCAAAAATGCGGGTTTCAGTCGATCAATGCTTACAGAAACATGCTTGCCCTTTTGCTCAATAACGAAAAACTTCGGGTTTCGTTTGAGAACCTTGAACGGACCCAAATACGGAGGCTGTAATGGCTTACGGACACCATCGATACGCAAGAAAATATGCGTACAAGTATCGAGAGACCTATGTACAAAACTGGTCTGTGGCGACCTACGTGTCGCTGTAGGCGCTAAAACAGACATATGGTCCTTCAAGCGTTGGACGTAGTCCGCGGGGTCAACAGTATCGTGTCGCGTAGGCACTATCAGCTGGCCTGGAAGACGCAACGCCGTCCCGTAGACGAGTTCGGCAGCGGAAGCTCCTATGTCTTCCTTAATAGCTGCGCGGATACCCAACATGACCAGAGGAAGGTATTCTTGCCAACGGTTTGGCTCGGGTTGAGATTTGAGAGAAGCCTTAAGTTGCCGATGGAACCGTTCCACCATACCGTTGGCCTGCGGGTGGTAGGCCGTGGTGGCTATGGTCCGACAACCGAGCAAATTAGCTAAAGCAGTGAAAAGCGCAGTTTGAAACTGACGACCTCGATCATGCGTAATCGTGGCTGGTGCTCCAAAGCGAGCTACCCAGTTCTCCACTAGAGCTATGGCTACTGTCTCGGCAGTGGCATCTGCTATCGGGATCGCTTCGGGCCAACGGGTGAACCTGTCGATACAAGTCAGCAGATAAATGTGCCCTTTCGAGGGCGGTAGTGGCCCAACAAGATCAATATGAACGTGTGCAAAACGGGCATCGGGGTTGGCAAAAGTGCCAAGCGGTGAGTGCGTATGACGTTGGATCTTTGCGCGCTGACATGGGATGCAAGTACGCGCCCATGTACAAATGTCCTTGTTCATACCCCGCCACACAAAACGGGCCGCTATAAGCTTTTGCGAAGCTTTAATGCCCGGATGCGCGAGATTGTGCAGATTGTCAAACAACGATCGACGGTGCGCTACCGATACATACGGCCGCGGATGCCCTGTGGACATGTCGCACCAAATGTGCGCGTCCCCTTCCGGAAGGAGGACCTTCTCAAATTTGAGCGAGGTTGACGTGTCTGAGCGCAGAGCAGCGAGCTCAACGTCATCGACTTGGTCGGTCGCGACTACACGCAGGTTAATCGAGTTCGGTAATTGCACTGAGTCAATCTCGGTGCGAGAAAGTGCATCAGCTACCTGATTATCAACGCCTCGAATATGGCGTATGTCGGAGGTAAACTGTGACACGTAATCGAGTTGCCGCGCTTCCCTAGGGGAATGTCGATCGGGCGATGTCTTGAGTGCGAAGGTAAGAGGCTTGTGGTCTGTAAAAACAAAAAAATCACGCCCCTCTAAGAAGTATCGGAAATGGCGTATTCCGAGGTAAATGGCTAGCAGCTCTCGACCAAAGGTACTATACCTAGTCTCGGGAGGCTTGAGGCGGCGAGAAAAGAACGCAAGCGGTCGCCACTCCCCTTCATGGAGTTGCTGTAACACACCACCTACGGCTAGATCGGAAGCGTCTACCGCGAGGCTTGTAGGTAGCTCAACAGACGGGTATGTAAGCATCGTGACGTTCGCGAGGTCCTCTTTGACAGCCGCGAAAGCAGAGTCGCACACAGGGGACCAATCTAACGCCTTTCGAGAGCGCTTAGGTTGCTTGCGCAGCAAATCAGTCAAGGCGGCCAGCGAGGATGCGCACTTAGGCATAAATCGGCGGTAAAAATTAACCATACCTAAGAACCGGCGCAGCTGGCGTAGCGAGGTAGGGCGCGGAAATTTGCGAATTACCGCGACCTTGTCATCCATCGGGGAGACGCCCTGGGCAGTCACATGGTGCCCTAGAAAGTCTAGTGCTTCGACTCCAAACTGGCATTTGTCAGGATGCACTACTACTCCATAATCACGGAGGCTTGTGAACAGCTGGCGCAAATGAGTCTCGTGCTGTTCGGGATTCTCGCTGGCAACAAGAATATCATCAAGATACACGAATACAAATGGCAGGTCACGGACGACCCTATCAATAAACCTTTGAAAGGTTTGCGCCGCGTTGCGTAGTCCGAATGGCATGCGTCGGAAATGGAATAACCCAAAAGGGGTTGTCAGCGCGGTCTTCTTCACATCATCAGGGTGTACGGGGATCTGATGATATGCGCGCACTAAGTCAACTTTGGAAAATACGCACTTGTCTCGCAACTGTGCGGCAAAGTCGTGAAGGTGCGGAATGGGATAGCGATCCGGGACGGTCACGCGATTAAGAGCGCGGTAATCGCCACATGGTCGCCAACCGCCTGACTTCTTTGGCACCATGTGGAGCGGCGACGCCCATGAACTGTCTGAGGGCTCGACAATGCCCAAATCGAGTAACCGGCCAAACTCGTCTTTAGCGATCTTGTGTTTGTCCGGCGCTAAGCGTCGAGGTCGTGCCGAAACTGGTGGGCCGGTTGTGAGTATTCTATGTGTGACGTCATGTTTCAACGGACAGTTCTTAAACATGGGCCGAGTTACTTCCGTGAACTCGGCAAGTAAGCGTTTGTAGACAGAATCGGAGTCTACTTGCACTATTGTGAGATTCAGCGACGGTAAGTCGGAGGCGATGCCATGTACGGACAGACTAGTGGTGGCATCCCAAAGTCGGTTGGTGCGCAAATCCACTAGTAAGCCGTAATGCCTCAAAAAATCTGCGCCGAGGATAGGCTGCGAAACATCGGCCAATATGAATGACCACTTAAACGAACGCCGCAGCCCAATACACACTGTGAGCTCACGCTGCCCATATGTGTGTTGTAATATGGAATGTTGAGGTAATTATGCCATAATGTATTATAGTGTATTGGTGCATTAGTGTATAAGGAATTGTAGGTGGAGCAGTCTACAATGTAAGCTACCCCCCCCCCCCTTCCTCATCAGACAATAGCCTTACTTTCCCGCCTTTTTGGGGGTACCTGTATTGCCCAATGTACTGATACCCTATAGGCATGATTGGGGATCCTATTGTAAGTTTTAGTGGATGAGTGATTTTCTTTTGTTCGGGGTCTGTGCACCCAGAGCTGCTATAGCAGGGACAGAGAGACATTGTAGATTGGAGAGAGAGGAGAGAAGCACTAATTTGTGCCTGCTAATGGAGATTGTTATTTACTTCTGGCAGATCACAATTCATGGCTGCATGTGGTGAAATCTCCTTATTTTGATGAACTACACTTTCTACAATAAGGTGGAAGCTTTGTTTATGATCAGGGGTCGGACGACAGCATATAGCGTTAGTGTTGCTTCGTCGTTATAGTATTGGCCGGTGAGTGGAGTTTGGCTCTATTGTGTATAGATATATATATGACCTAATATACATGCAATTGTAAACCGATTATTGCACGAAATGATGTAAAATGTACAATATTCTTCTGTCCTATATATGTTCTAATTAATTATGGCAACTATACTGCTACAGACAATTAAAACAGTTAAGCTACCTTTCATGATATTGCACATAATAAGAATTATTATTGAAAATTGAATAATGTATTAATTGATGACTCGTGTTGAGTTGGAAACTATTGCAATGTTTACACTTTAATTTGTTCTGTTTAATGGAAGAAAGCAAATGAAACCATGAATTGTTTGTTATTACATTTTGCTCCAGAGGCTATATGCTAATTATATTTCGTTCAAATTTTGTTCTTGTACAGGGGCTGTGTTTTCTTTGGTGAATAAATGCAAGACTAAAGTTTACGTTGGACTCCCTAGCTGTTGTCATTTCTGAATCTCAACAATGGTGTCAGAAGTGGGATGACTGACGGCGAGGGACAACTGGACTGAGATCATCTGCACGGATACTGACCAACCTCCAACTTCTTGCGGCCGTGACGTCGTCGGCTGGCGATATTTGGTGTCAGCAACGTCCGGAGGCAAAAGTGAACATTGGACAGACAGTGAACATTCAACAGCCTCGGTCAGATACATTGTGACCATTAATGAATTTGAAGAACATGTTCATGTAATGATACACATGATTGATGATTTGTTCGTTTAAGTTTGCTTGTTGTGAAATATTATTGTTCCTGTTGAATTTCATAATTAACACATTTAAGTGCAGGAAAATGGCCCCTACATCTACGACAACAACTGTGACAACAACAACAACAACTACCACGTCGACAGCATCATCCACACGACCTACTATGACACCAAGGGAGCAACCTTCAGACATGGACATGCTGTCACAGTTCTTTCGTCGTTCCATTGGGCTACAGAGCATTCTCCAGAGCAACTTGCCCAAGTTTAGGGGAATACCACAACACGCAAACGACATTGCACTATCGGAATGGCTTGAGGAGTTCTATGAGATCACTGCTCAACACAACATGGAAATGGGCAGTAAGGCCAGACTTCTTGTAGATCACCTTGCAGGACCGGCAAGGGAGGAAATTATGTGCCTTAGTGAATCCCGAAGACGTGATTTTGATGAAGTTGTAGCATGTCTTAAACTATGTTTTGGCTACGAGGAAAATACACAGTCGTTGAGCAGCAAGTTCCATAACCGCGTACAGAGAGAAGGGGAATCGCTTTGTGACTTCAGCCGGGCCTTGATACGCCTATACATAAAGCTGGAGAAGGCAGCAATCACTCAAGCCCAAGGTGAAGCTTTGGCACAATTAAAAGACAAAGCTTTGAGTGACCAATTTGTAAATGGCGCACGTGAGGCTTGGGTCAGGAGGGAGTTGAGACGCATCCAATTAACTCATGGGCCCAGTGGGTTCAATAGGATGAGAGCAGAGGCACTCCAGCTTTTCCAGGAGTCTCCAACAGCTCAGCGTACCAGAATCAGAGAAGCGGACGTCGAGGTCGGACGGGTGGTCACATCAGATTCTGCACATCTTCTGCAACAGATGGTAGACCAACAGACAACTATTATGACTGAACTAGAACAGCTGAGAGGGGAGGTTACACGATTGAAAAATGCCAAACCTCAGAGAAGGAGGGTGAGTAGTGGATGTTTTCATTGTGGTCAGAAGGGACACTTTATAAGGGAGTGTCCCAACATGACACATATGCCTACCAACATATTCCCCGCTGCTGCTTCTAATTACAACTTCTCGGATGGACCCAGAAGCCAGAGGAATTACGACTTTCCTGCTTGGAGTCAGGAGTCGGGTACCAGGAACCAGGATAACTTCAATTTGCCTGCAACGCGTTATCAGGCTCCATCCCAGCCACATGCCATCCAGAGGAATTATGATTTTCCTGCTTGGAGTCAGGAGTCGGGTACCAGGAACCAGGATAACTTCAATTTGCCTGCAACACGTTATCAGGCTCCATCCCCGCCACATGCCACCCAACGTCACCTTCCTCACCAGGATGTCACCCCGCAGGCGGAAAACTAGCTTCCTCTGCTGTTGAGGGCAAAACAGCAGGGGACAATGAACAACAGGACAAGACAGAAGAGCCCATGGGACAAAGCTCCCATAAGCTACAAGCCGACACGCCTATAACAGACAAGAGGGAGATTGACACAGAAACGAGATTTGCACATTCCAGACAGACCACTTTGGAAGAAGCTGCGCTGACAATAGATGAAATAATGTGTGACAGCGAAACAGAATTGGTTTCAGAAAGTCCGACCGCAATAGCAGAAGTTGCCGGCGTGAAAATTGGTTGCGTCTTAGACACTGGAGCAGAGGCTTCGATAATACCCTCAGACGTATTTCACTCGCAGCTTCAGGAAGCAGCAGGAGATGTCAGCCCATTGAAAAAACTGGTAAAAATTGTTGGGGTGGGTCCAACAAAGGTTCCTGTAGAAGGCTTTATCCGCACTCGAGTTTTGCTGAACGGCAAAGAAGCTTCCGTCGGGTTCCTTATCGTGAACCGAGAGTCTTGTGGAGCTAGACAAAAAGACTTCCCAATTTTATTGGGATGTAATGCACTACGAGCTTTTTTTCCACCAGAGGAAACTCAAGAAGAATTCCAGTTAGTAAAGGACTGCTTGAAATTTAAAGGAGTGGACAATGCACAAATACGAGAGGTTGTCACGGGTGCCTTGGAGGTAGTGTTGCCAGCCAGGACCATACAACATGTAGAATGTGCGATGAAGTCCTCTCAAGGTGGTGAAGCTGCCAATGAGTCAAGTGTCTGGTTCATCCAGGATCTGACTAAGCTGGAGAGTTCTCAAGTTCATGTGATTGAAGGTTGTGCTACCGGGAATAGAGAGTTACGTTTACTCCTTATTAATGCTGGAAAAAATGAGTTCATCCTACCACCTCACTCAATTGTGGCATCTGCTGTGCAAGTAGAAGAACGAAGTGAAGTTCATCTTCAAAACAGAGAGGACCAACTTGAGGTGGATGTTTGTAATGTAATGATTGCCACAACAGAATCGGTTCAAGATGACGACAATGTTGGCCAGTTCGAACACAGAGGAGAAACCCAACCAACAAATGATATCACTACACAGGAAACGTTTACCTTCACTGATGGAACAGAAGTATTGCTTCCTCATGGCCTCAGCTTATGTGGGATGGACTATCATGAGGCATCTAGGATTGCTAAACTTCTAGCAGATCATGAAGCAGCTTTTTCCAGAGATGAGTTTGATTTGGGACAGTGTGATCTTATCCCTCATGAGATAAAGGTGACCTCTGACAAGACAATACGCCTGCCATATCGAAGAATTAACCCCAACGAGACATCAGAAGTTCGTGAACTTCTGCAAGACATGCTTGAACGAAAGATCATCAGGGGGTCTGCTAGCCCATATGCAAGCCCAGTCGTTTTAGTTAGAAAACGATCAGGAGCCCTACGCCTATGTATCGACTACCGACAATTGAACAAGATTACAGTGAAAGACTCTTTCCCGTTACCCAGAATTGATGAATCCCTGGAAGTCATGGATGGGGCTAGATACTTCTCTTCTCTGGATCTGTCTCATGGGTACTTTCAAATCACCATGCATCCTGACTCTGTGCCCTTGACCGCTTTTCGTGTTCCATGGGGACTCTTCGAATTTGAGAGAATGCCGCAAGGTCTTTGCAACAGTCCAAGCACCTTCCAGAGGGTGATGGAGGTGATCTTCAGTGATATGAACTTCACAAAACTAATTCTGTACCTCGATGATGTGTTGGTATTTTCTAGAACTTTTGAGGAACATTTGGAAAGACTTGGAGAAGTTTTTGCCCGGTTGACGAAGCATGGTCTAAAGTTGAAAGGAGAGAAATGTCACTTGTTCAGGGGAGAAGTTGCCCACTTAGGACACATCGTCAGCGAGAAGGGCGTGATGGTCGATCCAAGCAAAGTGGAGAGAATCAAGAGTTGGCCAACACCCCAGAATGGATCAGAGTTGAGGTCTTTCCTTGGCCTTGCGTCGTACTATCGGAGGTTTGTCCCTGACTTCACAAGACTGACAGCTCCTCTTCATGCACTAATCGGACAGAAGTCGCAAAAGAAGAGAAAGAGGAAGCCTGAGAAGATTATGCTGGATCCAAAGTTTGTGTGGACAGACAAAGCAGAAGAATCCTTTCAAAAACTGAAAGAAAGACTGTCCTCAACTCCAGTGCTAACCTATCCGAAGTTTGGAAAAGAGTTTGTTCTCGAGGTCGATGCTTCTCTCAAAGGACTAGGTGCCTGTCTATCACAGGCAGATGAAAAAGGTCACCTTCACCCGATCTCATTCGCAAGCCGCAGTCTACGTGGAGCTGAAAATAACTACCCGGACTTCTCCAGCTTCAAGATTGAACTGTTAGCACTGAAATGGGCGGTGGTAGAGAAGTTCAAAGGATATCTGATAGGTTCAAAGTGTACCGTCTACACAGACAACAACCCGTTGGCCCATCTTCAAACCGCCCAACTGGGGGCAACTGAACAACGATGGGTAGCCCAGCTAGCACCCTTTCAGCTAGACATCAGATTTCGCCCTGGCAAGCTCAATAAATGTGCTGATGCTCTCAGCCGCTGTCCTGGCAATGATGAACAAGAGGTGAGAGAGATGATCGGTGCTCTGACAGTAACTACTGTCTTACCAGTGGAAGTTACAGTAAACAGTGATCAGGGGCCAGAAGAAGCACCTCGGGCAGCTCCTGAAGTATACCCATCATATTCCACAGAGAAACTTGAGATTCTGCAGCAGCAAGATGATGCACTGTCAGCTTGCAGACAATACATAAGAGATGGATGGAAGCCAGAGGATGAAATGAAAAGCGAGAACAGAGAGACAAAGTCCTGGATGAAAGAACGCATGTACCTCAAAGACTGTGGAGGGGTATTGTACAGACGACCACCAGATTCCAAACATCCACAGAGAAGACAGTTGTTAGTTCCCAAAGGCCTCCAAGAGAAGATGCTACAGATGGCTCATGACCAATGGGGCCATCAAGGGATAAACAGAACCATAGCAATCCTGCGAGAAAGATGTTTCTGGCCAGGAATGTGTAATGATGTGAGAGCACACATCAAGAAGTGCTTTGCCTGCATTGCAGCTAAGACGCCAACACCGACAATACGAACTCCAAGACGACACTTGCTGGCATTCAAGCCCCTAGAACTGATCGCAATCGATTTTCTGAAATTGGATAAGGGTCAAGGTGGATACGAGGATGTCTTGGTAATCACTGATGCATTCACCAAGTTTGCACGAGCAATCCCCTGCAAGAACCAGACTGCAGCAGTTGTTGCACGTGCCTTAATCGATGGTTGGATAGTCCACTACGGTGCTCCACTACGTATCCACTCCGATCAAGGACGAAATTTCGAGAGCTCTCTTGTCCGAGAATTATGCAAACTGTACGGAATTGAGAAGACACACACCACACCGTACTATCCACAAGGCAATGGACAAACGGAAAGGTTCAACCGAACGTTATGCAGCATGATTCGTTCCCTTGAGCCAGATCGTCGGAGAAAGTGGCCTGGGCTGATCCACCAGCTGGTTTTCCTATACAACTGCACCCCTCATGGAACAACAGGGCTATCGCCATACCGTCTCCTGTATGGGAGAGAGCCGCACACACCAATCGACCAGCTAATTGGGAATAGCGAAGCAGACTGGAATGAGGACTTTCTTACAGAGCATTCGAAGTCGCTACAACATGCTCATACGGTTGCTAAGCAAAACATGGAAGCGATCTTGAGAAGTGAAAAGATCAGACATGATGCTCTACCAATGAGTTCCACACTAAGCATTGGCACCCGGGTACTGATCAAGAAGTGCGCGTTTGAGGGTCGACACAAGCTTGACGACAAAGTGTTGAGAGATCCCTTCATAATCACGGCGGTAAATGACACGGGTGACGTTTACAAAATTCGACCAATGTTAGGAGGACCAACCAAAGTAGTGAACAGAAGGTTGCTGATTCCAGACCCACGTGAAGAGATGCCAGTTCATATTGTTCAGGAAAGCAGAAGTGACCATACCACGTCACAACACCCCTCGACTCGTCCTATAGAAGAGAACACCCCCTCTTTCACTTTCTTGTGGGATCGACCGATGAATATTCCAGGGGATCAGAACAACCTGCGAGTAGACATTCGTGACGATGAATATATTCCAGATGAGGGAAATGACCACGACGGAGCAAATGTTGAGAATGAAGAAAATGGTACGGATGACGTTCTCAATCTGAGCGGAGATATAGTACCTGATGAGATAGACAACTCTCAACTTGAGAACCCCAGTCCCGAGGTACCGCGTAGGAGGTCTAATCGAGTAACTAAAGGCCAGCATAGAAATCCACTGCGGCTTCCAATATCGGCGTTACAAGAGTAAAAAAAAAAAAAAGAAGAGAGTTTTGAATTTGAAGACAAGAATTAAATATTTACTTGTCAGATTAAGATGTGATGTGTTATTAATGCTATGCATAATGTTTTAAAGAACATTGTTTTGTATTTTCATATACTACTGAAAAACATTTTGGTCAAACATTATGACATTAATTGCGGGGAAGTGTATTATAGAAAGATTTTCATTGCTTATATTTTCATGTATCGCTAAAATCTCGGTCAAACAGTATGACATTAATTGCGGGGAAAGGTGACGATTTGGAATTTCGCTCGTAATAATGTATCATTTTTATCAAACATTATGACATTAATTGCGGGGAATATGTTGTAATATGGAATGTTGAGGTAATTATGCCATAATGTATTATAGTGTATTGGTGCATTAGTGTATAAGGAATTGTAGGTGGAGCAGTCTACAATGTAAGCTACCCCCCCCCCTTCCTCATCAGACAATAGCCTTACTTTCCCGCCTTTTTGGGGGTACCTGTATTGCCCAATGTACTGATACCCTATAGGCATGATTGGGGATCCTATTGTAAGTTTTAGTGGATGAGTGATTTTCTTTTGTTCGGGGTCTGTGCACCCAGAGCTGCTATAGCAGGGACAGAGAGACATTGTAGATTGGAGAGAGAGGAGAGAAGCACTAATTTGTGCCTGCTAATGGAGATTGTTATTTACTTCTGGCAGATCACAATTCATGGCTGCATGTGGTGAAATCTCCTTATTTTGATGAACTACACTTTCTACAATAAGGTGGAAGCTTTGTTTATGATCAGGGGTCGGACGACAGCATATAGCGTTAGTGTTGCTTCGTCGTTATAGTATTGGCCGGTGAGTGGAGTTTGGCTCTATTGTGTATAGATATATATATGACCTAATATACATGCAATTGTAAACCGATTATTGCACGAAATGATGTAAAATGTACAATATTCTTCTGTCCTATATATGTTCTAATTAATTATGGCAACTATACTGCTACAGACAATTAAAACAGTTAAGCTACCTTTCATGATATTGCACATAATAAGAATTATTATTGAAAATTGAATAATGTATTAATTGATGACTCGTGTTGAGTTGGAAACTATTGCAATGTTTACACTTTAATTTGTTCTGTTTAATGGAAGAAAGCAAATGAAACCATGAATTGTTTGTTATTACATTTTGCTCCAGAGGCTATATGCTAATTATATTTCGTTCAAATTTTGTTCTTGTACAGGGGCTGTGTTTTCTTTGGTGAATAAATGCAAGACTAAAGTTTACGTTGGACTCCCTAGCTGTTGTCATTTCTGAATCTCAACAATTTTCTGAATCTCAACATGTGCATATGCGCGTCTTGTTTGCAGCCTGCAAAACGAGTGGCATAAGGTGCCTCTTATCAGCGGTGTTGGCAGGAATTACGCTTACCGCGGCACCCGTATCGACCAAAAATCGTGTCCCAGAATCTCTATCTGTGACATAGAACAAGCGACCGTCACGAAGAGGGCCAGTGAGGGGTGTCGCGCCCACCTCCTGGCCTAGTTGTTTTCCGCCGGCTTGCTATATGTGCATGGCGGGCGGCACTGGTGAGCCTTGTCACCCCACTTCTCATGATACCAGCAAACTTCAGAAGTGCTCGCTGATTTATAGCCGGATGAGTCGCGCTTCCTGTTGCTGCTCATGCTGCTCATGCTGCTGCTTCGGCTCCGCATGCAACCGATAGTGGCGGTCAATTCCTTGACCAATTTCGTGAGCGCAGCAACTTGGTGCTGAAGAGTATTGGGTTCAGTCATGACGCCGCGCCACGCCCACTGTTCACACAACTAAATTCAATGTATCAGTAAGAAATGTGATTATCTAATGGTAAAAAAAAATATTAATAAGCAAAGGTAATCTAACTAAATGTTTCTTATCTCAGGGGGATCACGTCGGGGTCACCAATTTTGAAAACTACATGGGGTATGGACTATGTTGCGTGTTAACTAGTAATCCCACATAATTCCCCTTTTTAATTAAACTACTAAAAAGCAGTATCCCTCCAGACAAGAAAACACTTAATAAATGATCACATCCAGACAAATTGATTATGGTTAAAAACTGGTTCTATATTCTATAATTTCACATAAGATACAATGATTACAGAATTATCAGAAACCTCTTCTGTCTATCTCAACAGTGACAGACAAGTATCACTAGGCCCTTGGTAGTTACTATTAATAATCAAACATAGATAACTTCCAACAGCACATTAATGTAAAGGAGACTCAACTTAGTCACTATGGTATTAATGATTACCGCTGAATACAAGTCTCGAAATATCAGGAGTCTAGCTGTTCAGTACAACTTAAAACAGTACTAAAACAAGTCAGTTAAATATCATTCACACTGCATGAATAATAACAGTCAAGAAAATACTACTCAAATCTAAGCTAGACAGCGTTTAGATTTACTTACATAGGCACGAAATATTGTGGTTCAAGAAACCGCTAAACAAATCTCTACTTGTGTATGTGTACGGAATGCACAACACGAGAATACAACAATATATCGGTGGATCTAGACTATAGCAGATCTAGATCAGTAGACCAGGCATAGGCCTAGAACTAGTGCAATTATAAACATGTAAAATATGTGTTAGTAAGCGTACGCACTCAACAACAGGCACTCAGTCAGTCAAAATAAGGCCTCACAATGATAAACAATGCAAAGCATAAATCACAATATAATTAACGTTACGTGAGTCATTGGAGTGGAATTCAAAGTAGATCTAGATCTTCTTCAAGTTCTAGGTAGATGTAGAAACTAGCTAGTCGAAAACAGTGGTCGACGAGCTGGTTGTCGATCGCGTAGGATATGCAGACGATGATCGACGCTAGGTGAATACCACGATGATGAAGACGATGTTGAAGACAACGATGATGACAACAATGATGAAGACGACGCTGGTGAAGACAGCGATGATGAAGTCGACGATGAAGACGACGCTGGTGAAGACAGCGATGATGAAGACAACGGTGATGAAGACAACGATGATGAATCAGTTAACAGATGAATACAATGATGATGCAGTCAATGTCAATAGATCAACTTCAGTGACTTGCGATGCAGGTCGAAGAATCAAATGTCGAGACAATATATATGAAGTCGATGATAAAAGGTTGTCAAACAATAATGCAGGTGAGAAAAACGTTAGATCATATTAAATGTTCTATTCTCACTGCTGGTGAATTAAAGTGTCGTCAATGTTGAACATCGAGAGAGTCAAAATATATCTTGCAAAACGTACAAGATGTAAATAGGTGAGCACGTCCACCGGGAATGGTCCGGGGACGTAGCAGTTCAATCCTCGTTGGATACAATTTTCTAGGTACAATAATCGACACAATAGCAGCATGTGTGTATACCAATATTAAAACAGCTCACTGATTCCCGCACAGGAAAATCAGAAGAGCGCCAATCAACTACAGCGCGATTGGTTCAAAACAAGCGCACATGTATGTTAATAAGGCACGTGATCTAAATACTTATGAATAAATACGCGAACATCTATGTTAATTGGTCATGTGATCAACATACTAATGAATAAACATCGTTATATAATAAATCGAGTTAAAACCAGTTCTGAGGACATGGCGTAATACCAAATCCTCGAACTCTCAATGACTTCTAAAGCGGCCATTTTGGATTAAAAACACAATATGTATACCAGTGAATTATAAATGAATGCACTGTAACATTTGTCGCTACAGTCTTATAATAATGATCGTACGTGTTCTGTGTTCTTCCAACAGTAGCATACAGGGGACGCGGGGGCACATGTCACGTGTACCCCAGTCCAGTCGTGAAAAAAAAAGTAAAAGTGAAAAAGGAGAGAAGGGGAAAGGAAGAGGGAAAAGATACCTGGACTACCTCTCACCCCCTTCCCCTAATCACTCATTAGCCTTGTAAATTGCATTTCATTTTCGGCTTATAGACGTACACGTGCCAATCGTTCCAATGGCCCTTAAAATGGATGGAATGAATCTATGTCCCAGCTGTCTTCCAATAATAGTTTCCGGCGACCCCCTTCTTCCTCTCAGATGCTGTACATAAATATCGCGAATCTCGATCCTTAGATGTCACCACGATCGAGAGGTAGGGAATATACCCATTCAAAATTTCTGTCAGAAATGTTATTATTGCTGGCAAATTGTCATACTTTATCTTGTCTCAAGTCACAAATTACAGTTCCTTGCCTGTTTGATGGATCTTTATTATATTGCTTGACTGGTTGGAAATATTTACTGTCGGTATATAGCGCACGAAGCTTGTGATGGGGGCGGCATCGTGCATGGGCACGGGCCCCAAATCGAAAGATGCATTAAACAAAAAAAGGGAAAAGAGCGAGGGGTAGAATGAAAAGCTATATAGGGCAATGACAAATAAGTTGTTTCATGACCCATCTATAGCCTTCACCTCACTCGACGACCTGGTTCTCTAGCATATTTCGTTCACATAATTCGTCCCTATTTTCACGAAGTGACGGTAGTGAATGAAAATCGCATTCACTTTGCATTACGATTTTCCTCATGACTACCGTCACTTCGTGAAAATAGGGACGAATTATTATATCCGTCTCCCTAACGACGCTCTAGCTAGCTAGCACCCCTTTATTTTATTGCTGCACAATTAAATGCACGTTTTAAAAATATGATGTACTCACCACTGTGCAAGTGTAGACGATATACCAAACCAGCTATCAATCCCTCGTATTTTAAGAGATACACAATAATAATAATGGGTGCTTCTAAAGCGCACCAGGTCCGTCGGGCATGACGCTCATACAAATGCAAATACGAATACAAAAGAATGTACAAATTACCTATACAAGGTGGTTTTCAACGACATGCGTGCACCTATAGGTATATGAATGATTCTGTAGTATTGTGTTTCTGGATCGAGATTCGATGATTGGCATATAGTTATTGTTAAATGAAGGTGGTACTTTGGACTCGAGTGACCATCATGAAAATATCCCTGGGAAAATAATGGCCTGGACTATTATACCAGGGCATGTTTACTCTATCCAGGGAGGTGTTACCCTGCTATATCGTAATACATTACACTTTATGAATCAAGGTTAAGAAAAAAGGAAATGGAGCGCGGGGACTAAAAAAGAAAGAGAGTGAGAGAGAGAGAGAGAGAGAGAGAGAGAAGGGGGAGGGGTCAAAGGCGAGAAATCAGAAAGACTTTTCAAGAGGAAAGTGAAAGGGAAAGCCAGACATATATATACGAGAGAGAACCTGGAGAAAGATAGGAGGAAAGAGAGAGAGAGAGAGAGAGAGAGAGAGAGAGGGAGGAGAGAGAGAAAGAGAGAGAGAGAGAGAGAGAGGGGTAGAGAGAGAGAGAGAGAGAGAGATAGGGGGTGGTAGGAAGAGAGGGAATGTGAAAGCAGAAAGAATGACATACTTCTACCATTAATAACCATTATATCATCATGTACCATCATTCAATATTTATTAAGTAGACAATAAGAAGAAATAGACATTATATTAATTAAGATATTACTAGAAAGGGAAGGGAGGTCAAGAGCAAGAAGGATTGAAGAGATAAAGCAGTGAGAGAAAAGAGTGAAAGTGAGAGGCAGACAGAGTGTGTCTGAGAGGGAGAGACAGGTAGAGAGAGAGAGAGAGAGAGAGATGATGATGTTCAATTTTTTACTGCAATCACAATGAAACATCTACTTACCATAAGTAACAATATCAAGCACAGTATTTTCTCATTTTAACCCTCAAAGGGGATTTTAATTCAGCTCCGCTGATATATATAAATTCAATCCAATACACCACAACATAAAATGATACTAGTTCAAACTACGAGTAACAATATAATGTTATACAACACAAACAAATATGTTTTGCACTATGTGTTACATTCTTTTGTTAAGAAAAGAATACAATAAATACTTGACTCCCAAAAGGAAACTGTACAATGATATTTTTTTCAATATTCAATTTAAAGAGTTTTGATCTAAGTGATTGAGATCCGCTCCATGATCTGCAAATGAATGAAAAACAAGTCAAGAAAAATAAACCTTGAACCCTTAACATCTACTACTATACACACCATGACTATACCACTGGGCCTTTTCTTGAGTCTTGTTGAATTAGAAACAGATCGTCAGGCCTCTTTATTCTCATTCATTACAAATAAAGGTAATAGGATATAGATATCTATAATAATAATCATAACAATTTTAATAATAAAAATAATAAAATAACAATGATAATTATATTAGTAGCAGTAATAATAGTAGTAGTTGTAGTAGAAGAAGTAGTAGTAGAAGTAATAATATTAATAACAGCACTACTTCTCCTGATCATGGTAAAAAGGATTACAATAGTAAAATAATGATAATGATAATAATTATAACAATAATAATAATATAATAATAATAATTATAATAATGGTAATAATAATAACAAAAATAACAAAAATATAATAATAATAGTAATAATGATACCATTAATAATAACAATAATAATAGTAATAATAATAATAATCATCATCATAATAATAATGATAGAGGGTTCTTGTATAGAGCTCATGTCTTACACACTTGACATTCCTGATACTGTACTTCACTGTTCGTTTGTTCAGAAAAGTTGTCTTGTCCTTTTGAGTAAGTGGTATTTAATAAATATCAGCCTATCTGGCCATTTCAGTTACACTAGGAAGTTCAAGTATTTCTGAAGCACCACGTAAACATTACCAACCATATTCTCTATTAGCCAATAATAGGAAGTGAAACTATAATTTCACTCTCCATTCGTCTTAGGTGAATTATATCTCCATTTTGTTCTCCATATACATGTACCTTTCACCCACATGACAATAGGCCTACTTTAAAGCATGCAAAACAGATTAAAACAATTAGCACTGATCATAATTTATTCAACTGTTCCGGTATATTCTTCCCATGAATTTGCTTAAGTCATATCATAAAATACTTATTTTTCCACATCCATTACCCACTTCCGTTATCCCACCATCAATATTCTTTGATCTAAGGTGTACCTATATTGTTTGTTATGAATGTACTATTTTTAATGACTTTGTAATACTATTGTATTTTGTGCAGTATCCTTGTGTTATTACCTATGTAAATTGCACTCAATTCAGCCGAAAGGCTGCCATGTACAATGTTTTTTATACCACAATACACATTATTTTTTGATATAGGGGTGAGCTACATAAAAAGTGATTTATGAACACAACATCTAAGTCTTATCATTTATCAGGCCCACGTCACACTGAAACTCATTATTTGTTTTTATAATGGAAACCCTAAATGATTGGCTGCATTGCTCTCATAAACACTTCCTTCTTTGGCAACTAAACTGAATCAGAACCACGTAGATCTGCACTTGTTAAAGTCACAATGAGACGAACAATGAACTCAACAAGTCTTGTTCATTATCCTACTGTGGCTTAAACTGCGTGCAGTGCATATTCACTAATCCACTCACAAACATGATGATTTGTATTGCTATTTTTTGCTGGCTTTTGGGGAATGTTGGCAATCGATATTTGTGCAGAAAGATAAAATATTTCTTCATTGCCGATAGTTACAGTTTTGTGCATATTTATATTTTTTACATCAAGGTATTGAAGTCAAAAGCATCATAATGAAACATCTGTAAACCACTGCATGAAAATCGAACAAGAGAAGTGTACTATACAAGAAATCGCATAAAGAAATATGAAGTTGCATAGATGTACGGTTAACAACTGAATTATTCATAACCTTACCAAATTTTGTAATTTTCTAAGTATGTAAATTCTCCTTAATTTAATTTTTTTTAATTAAATCTCATTTTAATTTGTACATATAACAATAACCATAAAATCACTCCACAAGTATGTGAAAAATAGATTTGTCCTGATTTATGTTTCTTGAGAATGTGATATATCGAAGCTTACATCTAAAAGCATTCACTTACCGAAGGCCTCTTTTCAACCAGTCCACCTTTCATTTCTTGAGTAACAAAATACACTCAAAACATCAACTTTACCAGGGGTATGAATAACTCACTTGTTAACCCGTTGCCTACTGAATTGTATAGGTCCCATAGACTTAACACAGAGACCACCAGGTTCCAGTAAGCAAAGGGTTAACTGTATATGTACATGTATATACCAATATCACCCTCATGTCTATTTGTTACTGCATCCTATGATTTTCAGGTGCTGGGAATGCACTAATTACCTACAGTCTGCATTTCTGGAAGATGACATCAACTTATTTTGTAATGTTCTCTTTACCGGTGGTACTCTATTTGACTCTTGCTAGGTATACTACCGGTATGTAGTATTTATATGGGACATATGTGCCTGTCACTACTTCTTGTTTGTTATGTTTATTTGAATCCTCAATTTTTTGGAGCTTAGAGACGTTTCCGATGAAAATAAAACTGAATGAATTTAGAGTAGAAATATAAAGGAATAACAAGTATTTACCCTTTCATTATTGCACAAAGGCAAATTAAAACCCCATTTTCCACACCCTTCAAAATTACGGGTCAACAGGGGTCAAATTTGCTGAAGTCACAGTGATGGCATAGCTGTACCCGACCATTGCACCTATATAGGTGAGGTGATGAGCCGTGATTAATTAATGCAAAGTCATTGTGCATACTCCACACAAGATGATGTCATCAAGTCGATAATAAGTTTTTAGGTTGACAACTTTAGATTTTAAAGCTTTAGATTTTGAGTTTTCAGAAAGCAGATACTCCTCTGACAGACACTAAAAATGGCATATAATTGATATTATTGCAATCTTTGGCTTTTAAGCTTTCAGTTGATATATCATTCATCCATTTCAGTTCGGATATGGTCTTTAAATATATATTGTTCAAGTAAAGAATACATGTGTTGCTTGCATGTCTTACAGAATTTTTCTGTGCTGGATAGAATGTTTTTCCTATTACGTGTCAATAAGGCTACACTAAATACAAGGCCTCAACCAGTAGGTCAATCTCATTGTGTGGTTAAAGATGCACTTTAACAGAAGAAATCAATGTCTATATGATATAACCACTAAAGCATATAATGCACTACAATATGGTGTTTTCCACAAGAAATTGGGTGAATTTTCACTTAACACTAGTCAATAACTACAAACTCTATTATGAAAACACATGATCAACATGGATATTTCTAGAATACTTCAGCCCAGGATATAAATAAGTTTTTAGTATTTATACTAATAACACAAATGTATCACAAAAATATAAGAATGAAAAATAAGAATACTTAAAAGAATACGTCAGCCCAGGATATAAATAAGTTTTAGTAGTTATACTAATAAGACAAATGTATCACAAAAACATACGAATGAAAAATAAGAATACTTAAAAGAAATACAAAAAACCAGCAATTAAACATTGGCAAATGTTGCATTATCCCCAAAGTACTACATGTATATAAAAGTGCTATATTTTCCCAAACTTACCATATGTATTCAAAGTAACCTTATCACTACATATTATAATTGATTAACCAGCACTTGCAGTCTCAGGATTGCAAACCACCATCTGATCTTCGGTTGCTTTCTGAGCGTACTCCTCCCATGATCCATCATAAACTCCGACATCCTTCTTTCCAGTCTGATGGGCGGCCAATGCCAGGATGCAGGCCGTGACCCCTGACCCACAGGTCGCTGTGACAGGTCCGGAGAGGTCAATGCCACTGTCTGCAAAAATCTTGACAAGCTCTTCTGGGGACTTCATGAGGCGAGCCCTCTCTGAGTCATCGTCATTGAGGAGGGCCGAGAAAGGCACATTGGCAGAACCTGGCATATGGCCACAGGTTAATCCTACAGGACACATTAAAACAAACAAAAAATAAAGGGGAAGTCAACCCTGGTATTAAATCAGATTTCATGGAAGCAGAAAAATTAGAGAAACAGATTAATCCAGTGAAAGTTATGAGCAAAATCCGATTTAGAAACTGGATAGTTATGACTTTTTGAAGTTGCAATCGATTAATCACATATGGGCGACACTCCGACAAAATTTTCTGAGGTCCTCTCCAGTTTCATCTAAAAAAAAGAGAAAATACTAAGTCACACATGTACCCTTGATATAATCATTGCAGATGTGTTCTTACACAACCTCTGTATAAAATTAATTAATTCCTTCATCAATAACTAAGAAAATTAAAATTCATTACATCTTTAGTGCAGAGGATCATGAAAGAGAACCTTAAAAGTATGTCAGTGTTTGTGTTCCCAAGATTACAACTTCTCAATTAATAAATTTCTTATTCTAATTGGCTTATCTTCAAACTTTCACAAATGTGTTTCTCTTATTCCCCCCACCCCCCCCCCCCTTTTTTCTATTTCTATTTTTATTACAGTCTGAGTAGTCTGTATTGTATCTGAGCAGCAGCTTTTAACCTAGGGATATATGTTAGCATATTTTCTGGGTTTGTCAATGTAATGGTCATAAATGAAACAAAGTCATCTAATATCTTCATATACCCTTTGCCATCTACGCACTATGCATCTAATGAATGTGATTTGGGGAAAGACTTCTTGCAAAGCTGTTTCTCAGTACTTACAAAAAATACAATAGTAAATACCTTCTCTCGGCTCAGGCACCTTGCCAAGAAATCTCGCCTTTGATCTGGCATCCATAACTTGAAACTTGTTTGTGTTCAGATTGCCTGTCATATCACTAAACCGCTTGACCAGATTGGGTTGGAGCTCGGCTTTAAACTCCTTCTCCTCCACCTCACTGGGTGCTGTGCTGCTACACAGCGGGTGTCCTGCCTTCTCCCACAGTGGAAGACCTCCGTCTAAGACCGAAACAGCATTGTGGCCAAAGACTCGAAACAGCCACCAAACTCGAGCTGCAGAGAACACTCCGAGCTGTGGATGATTGTCGTAGACTACCACATGCGTGTTGTTGCAGATCCCGCGCTCTCCGACGTACTCTGCAAAGAACTCCGGCGTGGGAAGGGTATTGGAGAAAGGAGAGTGCGGGAGTGTGCAGTCATCAATGCTGAACTGCTCTGCACCCGGGATGTGCTTTTTGGCGAATTCTGCTTTGGGGTCCATCCCACTGCTTGGCATGTACCAAGTCCCATCCAGAACCCTGAGATATTGAGTTTGAGGGGAAAGGATTCGGGAAAGCCATTCACAGCTCACCAGAGCACCAACTCTCTGCATTTTGCTACCCAATCAAGTTCCTGTTTATGCAGATAGAAAGAACAGTAATATGAATATAATATAATGTATTGACAATCTTTTTCTGAATCTAGTGAAAATATGAAGAAGAAAAAATAAAGTCAAGAATGTTATCAACATGAAAAAAAATTTGGTTAAAGTATGGTATTTTTAAATGACTCATTATTATTCATAATTAATCTATAATAACATGAGATTATGAAGCTTTAAACCATTGAATACAATTTCATTTTTGTATAGACTTAGATCAAAACCCATTTTCAATGGATTCTATAGTCTACTAAGATCAACTGGGCTGAGTATTCAAGGAGGAAAGCTTAGAATTAAAACAAAAAATTGATTGATGTCATACTCTTTAAATAGACCTCCATTTGATTTTTGATCTGCCAATATTAAGAAACGCCTTTTACAATTTTGCATGTGCAGGGAAATACAAATTGCAAACTAATCAAGATATGTATCAAGGAGGGCCTAATCAAACGTTTGGACCTAGGCTAATTAAGACCTAGATCTCCTCCATCCTCTTCATTTAAAAAAGGAAAAGAAAAGAAAAGAAGAATAAGAAGAAAAAGAACAAGTCGGGAGGAAAAAAGGTATTAGCATGGCTGCCAAAGTCATCTTCAGACTAATTCTTTAAATTGAACAAAAGATGCACTCACAAGGTCAACACACTACAGTCTATGACAACTCAATCAACATACAAACTAAAAGTCAATGTGAATATATTACATCTATGACATCATGAAATGCCTTGAAATTACAACATTTAAAACTTTCCTAAGAATGACAAAAGTTGTAAAAAGCACACAAAATGTTTACAAAATAATAAATGAGCATCCAAAGAAAATTCTAGCCTTACAAAGCACTTAGTGATAATATGAAATATGATATTGACATCAAAATGATATTTATCATCAAGACCTCGATAAAACGCTAGCAAATTAATTTTGTTTTTTCAGTGTTAAACTCTTATCTAATCCTACAACTTACTTCTTCTGAATGCAGGCTTTATATTCATTTAAAAATTTATTCTACCCTACGTGTTAAGTTGCATGGATATATAATGACCAGGTTTGAACTTTAATCACTCTCTTTAAATTTCTTTAGTGGTAAACTCATAGTTAATCATATTTACTCTATATTTTTTTTAAAAACTTGCATGACGCTGAAACACTCCAACTATAGCTACAGTTAGAGCTCAAGTACACATACTGAACTGATTAAAGGATAAGTCCGATCCAACCTGAGATCAATTTAGTTTTAATAAAAGCATAAATATGAAAGAACCAAATTAGTCTAGTGAAAGTTCGAGCAATATCCGATCGAAAATAGAAAAGTTATGAATTTATGAAACAGTGGAACACAAATTGGAAACGTCACTACATATTTTGCAAGCTCTTCTCCAGTTTGCTATGTAAAGAAGATGTCCGTAATAGATTTGTGTCATACAGAAATACAGGGGTTGTATAAAAACATAGACCTAGATTAAGGGTGCGTATGATTAAAAATATCTAAACACATATATATTCCTTCATCAATAACTAAGAAAATTAAAGTTCATTTCCTGCAATGCACATTGCTTTAAATAAAACCAACTAGGCCTAGATCTAGATCTAGGTTACCCTATATATCAGGGTGGACTACCCCTTTAAACCCGCGTTCAAAAGAATCCAAGCATAGCATAGATCTAAGTATTAAAACTATTATTAAAGGTGGGCAAGTAAATTCATTATTTTCATATAATTTTATAACTTCCTTATTTTTATTTGTCATCGTTTTTTGTTGTTGAAACTTTCTCTGAGTCTGAGCTGACCTGCCTGTTTCTTTCATTTTGCTGCTTCCGTTATTAACAAACTCATTATCAGGGGGGACTTCCCCCTTAAGAAAAGAATCTACAAACAAGTAAGGCTCAGCATACTTACCTAGATCTATACTTCGAAAAACTAACAGAGAGCAAGCAATGTCAATAATGTAAAGTACAAGGATGATATCTCTGAAGATCAACAAACATATTTGTTATGGAACGCTGCAAGTGGAGATTTACTTGGATTTCCCCTTTAATAATAATAATAATAGTTAAATTCATAAAAACGAATGATGGCTTTCGTATTATTTTTAATAATGTAGGGATGTGGTTATAAGCTTTATATTGAATATGCAGTCACTTAATTTGCACAGTTTTGATTTGAAACAAAAATCAAGTGTATGGACCGCTAATATTTGGAACGGTGAAAAAGGAAAAAATGGCAGCGCCAAATGATTTTTTCTCTGGAGTAATTGGGAAAGTAGCTTTCGTCAATAAAGTAAGAGTAAAGTTCATCCTGTTAGGATTTTTGTTGTATGTTTAAATGAAGGTTTTATTTGGATTATTGCGTGTGCATGAGCCCAGATTCAGTGTCGAGTAGACATGACTCTTTAGATTTTCTTACATTGTAGTCCCATCTGCCCGATATCGTGTTGGATTTAACTTCATGACAGTTGTGCAAAATTAATCGCACTTTAATACCACCTACCAGTACTAGTAGGGGCGCTTGTCCGAGAATGAGGATTGTCCGCATAAACGAGCATATATCCTCGTAAATGTGGATTTATTGCATCCTAGTAAAAAATAAGGTCCTTTAAGGATTTTTTTTTTTCTTCATCGGGGCTCTGTGAGTTTCTGGTTCCTGGACCTGGCTGAACTGCGCGCTGGCGATGCTAAAAATGGATTCCGCATAAGAAAATAACCCCAGTTCACCGTCTACTTTTATGGGTTGTCCTTCTTCCCGGGGATATTTTGCTCATAAGGTGAAAGTCTCTGTACAATACTACAAATTCAATGCGGAATCCGTTTTCGCATCGCACACGCGAGGATCGGAAATGAGAAACTTCTGCAAAAATGCGGACGTGTCGGCTGCGTTTACGAAGACAATCCTTGTTTATGCAGATGATGCTTATTCGGTGCTTGTTCAGAAACCTATCCAAAATTTGAGCCGTAACTCTGGCGTGGAGACAGGCCTGCGTGGAGATACCCTACTAATAGTAAAACATAGACTCTAACCAAAATGAAGTAAATATTCATTAAATATCCAAATGAAGATCATGAGTTAAAAGTCGTTATGTTTATTACCTGTTTTGTGTCAATTTTCTTGTTATTTTCGGAGTATTTTTCGGATAGTTCTCTCGGTAACTGTGTTAATTTATTATGGGCGTTCCCAACTCAAGCTATGCTTTCCGGGTTTTAGCCTCCTTCCGTACCTGAATTATTTACTGTATACTCTATGTTGAAATAATTGTTACATATCATGTATATATACATTGTGTTTCATATTGTACTTTTGAGAAGGAAATAAATGTTAATAAATACTAATACAAATATAAACTAAACGTTGATATTAGTATACATACACTTTTTCACAGGTTTCATGGCAAACCGCTACACAATACCGATATTACGGTAAATAACTTCACACAGACGCGCGCCCGCCCGCAACCCACCATCGGTATGCACTCGTATTAAAATATGTGCCCCAAGATAAAGATAAAACGAAAAAATGAAAAAATGAATACTGTGTAATGTAGACGTGCTAATAGTTGGTAACAATCAGGCGCGTAGCCAGGGGGAGGGGGCTGTGGGGGGCGTCGCCGCCAAAAAACGCTGGCCAAAAAAAAAAAAAAAAAAAAAAAAAAGAAGAAAGGAAGAGGACGTAGGAAGAAAAAAGATTAAGAGTCGAGAACGTTACAACGAATCGTCTTCTTTCTCTAATAATTTAATGAAACGTCAAAGCTTCCGCTTCGGGCAGGAGGAGGGGGGGGGGGGAAATGAATTCAGACAAGGATTAAGAGTCGAGGACAGTCCAACGAATCGTCTTCTTTCTCTAATAATTTGATGAAACGTCAAAGCTTTCGTGCTTCGCGCGGGAGGGGGGAAACTCCCCCTTTCCTGAAATGAAATCCTGGCTACGCGCTTGGTAACAATATGAAACCTTTTTCTTGTTTGACAGTGGCCATTGCTTTTGAAGGCGACTCAGGACGATGATATTCCAACTCCTGGTTATCTCTTCAAGGAAATAGCAGGCAAGTTTACTGTGTTTATTATAGAAATGTTCCTTCTCATTGGCCATTTTCACTATTGCGAATGTTCATCCCCTTCTTTCTTATGCTTATCTGATGTTGGGTGATTATTTGCAATGTGTCTTGAGTCACATATATCATGTCCATTCATTAAATTAAGAAAAATGAAAATGTCATGGTATGACCTTGTAGTAATAACGTTATTAAATGGTCATAATCAAGATATTTCTCATTTTTAGATGAAATAAATAGAAAAGGATGAAGAGACATAGCTCGTATGAGACGATTTGCACAGAATTATCCTACGGTAAATGCTATTTTCATTCCAACATCATGGCAGATTATCTACCATAAATGCCACTCTCCCCTGTATCTGGCACTGGTCATTGCATTCTCTCTCCCCCCCCCCCCCCTTACCCCCTACCCACCCCCCTTACCCCCTACCCACCCCCAACACTGCTGTTGTGTCAGTCATGTTTTGATAGAACTTAAGTTCCGGTTGCACATTTTTTTTATGTCATTTTGGAAAATGACATGAAAATAATTGCTCTTCTAATTCCGTCGTATTCAAAAGAAAACAAAATGAACTGAAGTATTTGGATCAAACAACCTACATGCAACTTGTACTTATAGTCCCATATTCACATTTCTGCATTCTGCAAATGTGACCCGGCACCACAAAATCAACAAAAAGTCGCAAAAATTATTTTCCTGATTTCATCTGATTATGAAAGAAGAAGTTCTCCTCATTAAAATGGTATATTACTTGTCCAAATTGAAGCTTCCTAACCCTTTCAATTTAGTGAATGAAAAGAGCTGGTGAGGGAGGTTACTGGTATTAAATTGTGAGAAAGAGAGCTTTAAAGTTTGGGGCTATTCAAGCATGCGGAGCAAGCAAACCACAGGGAAATCAATAGAAGGGTGAATCAAAAGGCCATAGCAACCACTATGAAGAGATTTTCAGATTAGGCTGAAATTTGGCCTGATGGTCAAACATAGTCTGTTCATTATGTTTCTGAGGTTTCAATGTGTGGACTTAAGTCTTTCAAAAGTTATTATGTTGTAAATGTATAGAGTTGTAATTGGACAGATTAAGTGAACTGCAACATAGTGCCGAGACACCTGCACTAGACAATGCCTATTCATGGTGGACCCGGAGTCTTTTTGTTCCCCCTTACATAACACTGCTTGTCACCTATCTTGTTTTGTATACATCTGGGCAATTATTTGTAACCACATTATGAACTTGCTTTATACTTAATTCCCATACTGTTTTCTTTCTCACAGGAGGTTCAAAGTATTTTTACTATGACTTGCTCTTTCATTTCCAGTAGCCATCCTGATGATAATTAATGGAAGCAATTCATAAATACCAGCCAGAAAGTGGTATAAAAATAAAGAAAGGCAGGAGACACACAGTAAAGACACCAACATAGAATAACGTAAAATAGAAAGAATGAGAGAGAGAGACAGTGAGGGAAAAGAAGGGGGAGAATTATGATAGCTGTAAGCAAAATGATGATATCAAGAGTGTGAATGTGTGTTTACAATAAGAACTTGATTTCAAAACTCTTATGGGAGAATAAATTTGGAAGCACAGAAATGAAAACAAAATTATTTAGGGAATGTCACAACTCTTTCTCATCCTGTATCACAAGTTTAAAAATGCAACAACTCTCTCTCATCCTTTATCACAAGTTTGAAAATGCAACAACTCTTTCTCATCCTGTATCACAAGTTTAAAATGCAACAACTCTTTCTCATCCTTTATCACAAGTTTAAAAATGCAACAACTCTTTCTCATCCTTTATCACAAGTTTGAAAATGCAACAACTCTTTCTCATCCTTTATCACAAGTTTGAAAATGCAACAACTCTTTCTCATCCTGTATCACAAGTTTAAAATGCAACAACTCTTTCTCATCCTTTATCACAAGTTTAAAAATGCAACAACTCTTTCTCATCGTGTATCACAAGTTTAAAATGCAACAACTCTTTCTCATCCTTTATCACAAGTTTGAAAATGCAACAACTCAAGCGACTCGAAGTCGTTAACGGAGAATATAAGACGAACGCAAATCTGGAACTCGGATGTGAAAGCGGATACAAACAAAATGGCGCGCCGCACTGATTGCTATAACGGACCAATCACAGCCCGCGTAGCACGACCCGTTAGCAACGACTGACCATTTCCGGACTACGATAATTTCGCTCGGGAAAAGTGATCAAATTTTGGAAGAGACCGAAGGCTGTGCGAAAAAAAGTGGTCTAGAAAAACCGTTTAAAACACATCTTCTACTATGTTTTAGACTTCCAAATTTTGATACTAGGTACAGAAAAGACCACTCTTTCAGAAAATGCAAAAAAACAAAAATCTATTTTTTTCACCTAAATTGACATTTTAGCTGATTACGGAGAATCGCTGGTTGCGACTTTTTGTTGGTTTTGTGGTGCCGGGTCACAAATGTGCCTTTCAGCAAGATTGGATATACTTCTTATAATGTTGGTGATTCCAACACAAAACACTATACTCCAATTCTTATATAGGTAGTACATTATCCACCTTTCCAAATTGCTTCACAGCGGTTTCTTTCAAATCTTAATCATATGAGACTGGTGGAAAGTTGTAATGTAAATGAATCATTAAATTCTTTGAAGACCAGACTGACCACTCATGGGTTTGGTTGAGTCAAGTAGAGTAATTTTATTAGAAATACAGGAAAATTTGGTCCAGTGTGAGAAAGATTCAAGTGCTCTATTGTAAGTGAGCATTAGCATGCAAGTGTTATGTTTTAGATATTGTATTTAAGAGAGTTCTCTTGGATGTTCTTCAGGAAGAAGGAAAAAAATATTACAAGCACTTTAAATAGTTTTGATTAATTTCTTGATTTTTATTAGCAAATATGTGTGTCACATGTACTTTCTATGTTGAGTTTACAATTTTACATGACTTGTTTATGATTCTCTTAAATTCACAGATATTACATATGAATCTGGAAGTAATTGTCAATGTCTGGTTGACTTCCTGGTGGAGAGACTAGAGAAGAAATCATGCCACATCAAATACAAGGTATGGCTCTAGTATACAAATAATGCATGTGAATTAATTTATTTTACGTTCTATCTGCACTCGAGTTGAGGCTGTATGCAGCTAGCAAAGTTGTCAGGCTGAGTATGTACAGTAGGTGCATATGTACAGCCTCAACAATGCAGATAGATCTTATAATGAAAGAATGAAAACCGGCATCATTTGTTTCATATAATGAAACTCCTAGATCCTTGTTACTTGATGTAAAAAATAATTAATGTCAAGATTGCTTTGTGCCATTATCATTGACAAATGAATCCCAAGTTTAATAAAAGGCTTAATAGGCCCACCACAGTATGAGTAAACTAACCTCTGCTGCACTTCACATGCTAAAAAAATTGTTGGATAGTACTGGAAAGTGGAAACTATTGTCCGCTTTTTCATTTAAAAGAAACATTGGATAGACCCAGTAAATTAATCACATGTGATCACATTTGACCAATTATTTGATTAGGATCTATGAGTGAGTTGTATATATAAAAATGACTGAGGTTGAGACATAAACAGAGAGACAGAGAGAGAGGGAGGGAGAGGGGGTGGGGGGGGGGGGTGAGAGAGAGAGAGTGAGAGACAAACAAGTGAGATTGGCAAATAAGGTGGGGGGGGGGGGCAAAAGACGGAGAGCTAGGTGTATCATGGGTATGAAGATAGAGAGGTAGAATGAAAAAAAAAGGAAGAATGGCAAGGAGAAAGGTAGAATATAAAGAAAATTCATCAAAGAAGTAACAGGGAAAAGGAGAGAAATAAAGAAATATAGGCAGAGAGAGAGAGAGAGAGAGAGAGAAAGGACAAGGCAAAAGGTTATAATAGAAAGAATCAGATAAAAGTAATCAATTGTAAATAGTAACAATGCAAGAGAGAGAAATAAAGGGAGATTGGGCAGAGAGGGAGAGAGAGAGAGAGAGAGACACACACACACACACACACACACACACACACACACGCACACACACACAAAAAGCTGAAGTGTTTGATATTTATTTATTATAGATATTTGTGCAGATCATCAAAAAAGAAGAAGTGGGAGAACAGTGTAGAAAAAAAAGAAAGCTTTGTTTAAAGAGAGAAAGTGGGGATAGAATCATGGACAAATCATGCAAATAAAGAGCTGTCAACAGAAGAGAGAGAGGATTTTATTTTCACCAGAGGAATTTCCTGTATACCGTATCATGGTAATCCACAAACAGAAATTCAAATGTGTCAGAGTGTTTCTTTGAAGGAGTAAGAACTGATGTGAATGAAGCTTGAAGCCCCTTTCCAGGTCCTGCTGATGGGTCCTGGTCTCCTGGAAGCTGAACCATTTTTTGAATCATTTTCAAATGACAATTATTTAAAATATATTATATGAAAATGTTGCAGTGGAATTTTAACCTGTTGTTTCAAAATTCAATTGAAACTTGTTGCTTTGACATGTTAAAACTCTTTTAGACCACCAGCTGGTATTTTCTTTTTATATATCATCTTCATATACCACTGGTCAATGTTTTGTCATTTGTCTTATTAGGTTCTTAAGATAATGCTTCATTTGGTTGAGCAAGGCCATCCATCTTACTGTGAAGGTCTAAGACGTAAAGCTCAGGGGATCCAATCATCTGCAAGTAAGTCTTATTTATAAGTTTGTTAAAATAATCATCATTCTTAGAATAAAGTTTTATTTAGGTAGATTAGTGAAATGTATTTACCCGAAAAAGACACTTCCAGAATGCAAAGTGCATAATTAATAATGTTTGTTAATTAAAAGTTTTTTGACATATCTGAATGAAAGTTTAGCTAACATTAAGCCTAATTTAGATGGTACATGCATATACCGGCTTTATGACCTAACAATCTTGTGATAAAATGTTGTGATGAAATTGACATTATTCCAATATATTTTTTGTACACATGTACATGTATATAATTAAATTTCTCTGACAGCACCCCTTGCTAGGACCTTTGTTATGTGCAGCCTTTTTTGTCACCCCAAACTTTCAATTCATTTAGTACCAACAAAACGCACAGATCTACCATGGTTTATGAGTATAAATTTTCAATTTCATAGTGACATGAATTTTGTTTTAATTTTCTGTAATATTATGGAATGGAGAGGTTGACACATGGCTCCATAAATCGGTAGACTATAATTTTTCCTAACATATGTGCTTTTTCTTTTTCAACAACAGAGTGCAGTGGTCCCCCTGACCCCCTCCACGGTATGGCCCCCTACGTTGCTGTGAGAAAAGCAGCTAAGGTAAGTAAGATATTAACTTTACCTTAGGAACTCTTGGTTTAACCTTTGAACTTCCTCCAAACCTAGGAGAGTGTTCTATTTCATTTTGGCATGAATTCTTTCATTTTCAAGTTCAAGTTCATGTAATCCAGTTGGTAAACTGCATGTTTTTCCAAATACAGAATTTTCTGAGTTTATTGTTAAAAGAGAAATTCAGTGATCAGATTTCAGCTCATTTGCTTGAATAAATAAATAGACAAATAAATCTGTATTCTGGATTAAATATAATATTCTGTTCTTTAATAGCACATATTCATAATACAGTTATAATGTCCCATATTCACTTCCAAAGAGATTTAGAAGTCAATACCGTAGCTATAGCTCCGGTAGCCATTCTCAGTGCACAGCTAGTGCATTTCAAGTAGTAATTACAGAATTACTATGTAATAAGTAAAAAAATTCTGGAGGAAGAGACAAATTTGTATAGTTGTGTTCAGGTGAATATTTTATGGTGATGAATATTTTCATTTTGTTTGTACAGGCTTTGAGTGAGAGGTTATTTGACACCGAGGTCACACACAGCAGACCGTCCAATCATGCTTGGAAGCAGGGTCACATGACACATGGCACAAGGCAGTCAATAGAGGGCACCACCAAGAAGATGGAAGGATTTGGGAATACTCCAGTTGTATCACAGAGTAAGATGCTTATTTACTGTGCCATACACACCTAAACAAATGCAATGAGATGTATTTGAAAAGTCTGCTTTCTGTCCTTGAGTTTACATGTAGAGGTATTATGTTTCTTCCTGTTAAAACCCACTTTCAGTTTGCAAAGATAGTTTTTTTTTAATTTGTATAATTATCATTAGTCTAATCAATTGTTAAGGCAGTGGTCATGTGTTAAGGCAGTGGTCATGCAGGAATGGGTCGTATCAATTTTATTCTGACCTGATTTTTCCCCTATTCATTTTTTTGTTGTTGTTGTTGGGGGGTGACCCCTTTGCTTCCCTCTATCTCAATCTGCCTATGACATGGTATGAGTATTATGTACAGATTCATACTTTGACAACTCAAAAGTTACAGACTTTCTTGGTAAGACCATGTGGTAGCCTTAGTGAAAATGCTGTTGATATATTCTTTCGTCAAAAGGCTACCACATGGTATCACCGAAAGCCTCCAGTCGTAAATACTCAATTGCCATGGAAACCTACAGAGAACAACTTAAAACAATTTGTAACATAACTTGTGATGGCACAGCAGAGGTTAAACAAATTTAAAATATCATCCTACAGAGCCGGTCACCATTGAATCTCTCGGGGAGACGATGAGGGGCGGCTTACAGCAGATAGCCAGCAAGCTGAGCGGGGAGAATAAAAGTGCAATGACCTTTAACCAGGCTGATACAGGTTACAAGCCTCTCCATGGATACGACCCGACCTCCAACCATAGTCTTCAGAGCCCAGTGAGGCAGAGTGAGTATCCTTGCAGAAATGTGTCCTAAATGACATCCTCTTTCACATTACGATACAATTTAAGTAAAATTTTGCCATCAAATTTTTGGGGCTCCCAACACTTTAGAGGGTCTTAAACATATTGATAACTAAACAAATATAATTAATTATAAAAACATCCCCCCTCCCCCGTTGAAGATTGATCATCACATACACAGATTAGTTTTTTTTTTATTGATAACTAAACAAATATAATTAATTATAAAAACATCCCCCCTCCCCCGTTGAAGATTGATCATCACATACACAGATTAGTTTTTGAAGTCATCAGTTATCAGAAAAGTGAACGATGTAGATATATTCATCTTCAAACCTCCTCCTATTTTTCAAAGAGAAATATTTCAAGACATTTAACCATAATGTAATTCAAGTTCCATAGGCAAATTGAACTGATCAGTTTTTGTACTTAATGTACATGTGTGGGTAAAACACCATGTCAAAGGATATGACTGAAAAAAGCTAGTCTTTCCTATTCCATGGAAAATTGTTTTATGAAGATTGACAATTTAATATTTCATTCATGAAACAATATATATCTTTAAATTTGATGACAGACGAGGCATTAGTGATAACAGGGCCCTGTCTTATAAAGAGTTGATATCAATCGCAACTTACTTGCAATTGATATCTATCGCAACTTTGGACATGAGAGATAGGAGACTGTAAACTTGCGATTGATTGGAGGACTTACGATTGATTTGGATCAATCGCAACTCATTATAAAAAGGGGCCCTGATGACTTCAAAGATTTGACTGTGTAAATGAAGATCTATCTTAAAGAACCCTGAGTTGCTGAATATTTGGGCAGCTATTCAAAGGAAATTACATATTTTATTTTTCAGTTATGGAGCAAAAATCAGTGCCTGATATAATTATTTATGCACTTGTCTTTCATTAACAAGCCAATTATATCAAAATATTACAATGGAGTGTATTAAAGGACAGGGCAAGATTGACAGATGTTGTGTAAAAACACCCCCCCCCCCCCAAAAAAAAAAAAACTTCCCTGCAGATCCCCATAGTGTCCAGGTAGTAAGGGACCGGTAAACATAGAATCCCATTATCTTGTTTTGGACACATGGGAAAAAGGGGAAAAAGCACAAAAGTGGAGCCCTAGAAAGGTTGAATTGTTTTCCATGACATAATGACTGTCGACTGTCAACTGTCATTCACCCCCTCCTGTCATTCACCTCCTGTCATTCACCCCCTCCTCCCCCCCCCCCCCATGGAGGGGGGGGGGAGGGGGTGAGGGAACCACAAGTTTACCTGTCACAGGTTGGTTCTGTTTTCAAATCATCATCTATCCTTGCTGTTCACCTTGTACTCCTAGGCTTGATGAGTAGCGGCTCTTCCCAGTGGTCTCCTCAGCATAGTATACCCACAGACTACTCCCCTGTTATGCTGGATGATGATGGGGATGAGATAAGGAGAGAAACCATCTCCAAGGCAACACAAGCATCATCATCATCATCATCATCAACATTATCAAGACGTTGGCAACATCCGAGAATAGATACTCCACATACTGAAGGGTCTTCTATGCTGAAAGGTATGTAGAAATATTTGTGATACATATATTGTATTGTCTTTTTATTGCTTAGTTTGCATTTTTATGCCTCCGTTACGAAGTATCCGGAGGCAAATTATGTTTTTGGGTTGTCCGTACGTCCTGTTTTCGTGATCGCGTTATCTCAAGAACCGATAGATGGATTCCTGCCAAACTTAGGTCATGTATGTATCTTGCAGAGCTAATGAATTTATTTGATTTTAGGATCATGAGGTCAAAGGTCAAAGGTCACAGTGCTCATTGTGTATGCAAAAATTGCTTGTGATTGCATTATCTCAAGAACTGATTTATGGATTCCTGCCAAACTTAGATCATGTATGTATCTTGCAGAGTAAATGAACTGATTAGATTTGGGGTCATGAGATCAAAGGTCAAAGGTCATGGTGCTCATTTTATATGAAACAATAGCTTGTGATCACATTATTTTTAGAACTGATGGACGGATTACCATCAATCTTCGATCATGTATGTATCTCAAATGAACTGATTAGATTTGGGGTCATGAGGTCAAAGGTCAAAGGTCATGGTGCTCATTTTATATGAAACAATAGCTTGTGATCACATTATTTTTAGAACCAATGGACAGATTACCATCAAACTTAGATCATGTATGTATCTTGCAGAGCAAATGAACTGATTAGATTTGGGGTCATGAGGTCAAAGGTCAAAGGTCTTGGTGCTCATTTTATATGAAACAATAGCTTGTGATCACATTATTTTTAGAACCAATGGACAGATTACCATCAAACTTAGATCATGTATGTATCTTGCAGAGCCGATGAATTGATTAGATTTTGGGGTCATGAGGTCAAAGGTAGAAGGTCACAGTGCTCATTATGTATGCAAAAATAACTTGTGATCACGTTATCTGAAGAACTGATTGATGGATTACTGCCAAACGCAGGACATGTATGCTTAGCCAATGAACTGATTAGATTTGGGGTCATGAGGTCAAAGGTCAAAGGTCATGGTGCTCATTTTATATGAAATGCTTGTGATCACATTATTTTTAGAACCGATGGACGGATTACCATCAAACTCAAGACATGTATGTATCTTGCAAGGCCAATGAACTGATTAGATTTTAGGGTCATGAGATCCAAGATAAAAGGGTCAAAAATGTATATGAAAAATAGGTTGTAATCACGATATTCTGAGAACCTGTTATCAGTGGATTACAATTAAACTTGAATTTGGAAAATTGGTTCTGTTTTGGTTTGTGAAATCGCTCTATGGCGGAGGCATCATTTTCGACTGCGCGCAGTCAAAGTTCCATCTAGTTATTTATTATATGTGTAAGTTTCATATATTTAGTAATTTTAGTAATTTTGTATGGTGTAACATAGTGATTACAACATTAACAAATTCATAATTTTTGTAATGGTTGTTGGAATTCGTTCAAACGTTCATCAGTCTGCTTCTCTGATGTTTATGCTTTATTTTAGTGCAGTTTGCTATTAAGGTTGGATTTCCTTGAATGTATCGTATAGAGGCTCTGCCGGATGCATACCAGATCCATTGGAGCGCTAGAAGAATCACCTTTATGTTTTAATACTTGATTGAAGCAGGGCTGGAATTTTTATGATGCAGTACATTGTTTGAACTGCTTTCTTCTTTGTATAGTACCCCTTTCAGTGTGTAATTTCTTCTAATATTCTTGCAAATTATTAGTCAAATCTGTATTCGAGGCAATTAGTTGTGTTTTATAGATGTCCTAAGATAGAATGTTGCATTTTATTAAAGATCAATCGTAAAAATGTCTCTAACTTTTTTTTAAATGTAATTATTATTATTCTTTTTTCTTATGCTACAGAGGAAGACAATAATTTAATTGATACATCATCAGTATCAAGAGGGAGGCAAAGCAATGGATCAAAGAGCAGTGATCAGCTCAGTGGTGCAGGCTCAGATTTATCAGAAAGGTAAGATCTTTACTATTCCAGGTTAAATTATCCCTCCCTAATCTTTTCCTTTTTTAAGTAAATAACCTCTCTTTGATACGGTCATAGACAGTTAGACAGTAGCTTAGCATGGGCCAAGCCTTTGAAAGGGCAATAGCTTCATGGATAGGGGGGGGGGGGGGGGTAAATCGATCTTCTCATTTAGTGAAATGCAAGTAAGGCCACTAATGAGGGGCAGTGTGTGTGTGTGTGGGGGGAGGGGGGGCTTTAATGTTCTTGTTATGCTTTTCTTCCCCCTTTTCCCCCATCTTTTATATTCTGTTTTTTTTTTCCCCTTTATTTTCTCACCTATTCAATTTAGGGTTTATAACATTAGTATAAAGACTAAAAGTAGTTATCATTCTCCCACATTAGGAATGATTGTACCGGTGTGTCGGCTCAGTCAGTAGAGCGTCTGCCTCACAACCGGGAGGTCGTGGGTTCAAACCCCGGCCGCGTCATACCAAAAGACGTTAAAAGACGGGAGTTGCTGCTACCTTGTTTGGCGTTCAACATTGAAGGGATAGAGCAACGTCGATCTGGCGCTGCTCAGTTGCTTCTGGGCTCACGATCAATTGGGCAAAAAGAATTTCCATTTTCGGTTTGATAAAATTTGGAGTGGACTTTGAAAAAGATTATTATTATTGGCAGCCATTATTTTTGTGTCAGAGTCAGGAGTGCAGACTTCATCACCTCTCCCCCCAAAAAATTCTGATATGATGATTCTCTTCTTATCTTGTGTATTCCCTGCAGACTAGCATCAGTGAGTGTAACAGACTGGTCTGAGGAAGTCTCGATGGTAGAATTGTTCATCTCAGGCCATCAGGAAGGCCGACCAACCCCAACCAAAGAGGAGCTTCAGAAGTTTGTTAAGAAGTATGTATACCTTTTTGATTTCCTTTCTGCTCTTATGTGTGATCACTACACTTTTGGATGCTGTGTTAGGTAGCTTAGCGAAATGTAGTAGCACAAAAAGACGTGTCCGGAACGCAAAATGTATATTTGTTAAAAATCATAAATTTATCTCACAGAGGCACCACATAGTTAGGTTATGGAAGTGGTAAATGCATCTCAATGAGGTTTAATGTTAGCTAAACTTTCTTTCAGATATGCCATAAAAGAACTCAGAACTATTATGCATTTTGTGTTTAATGTGTGTTTTTGTGATACTACATTTTGCTAAGATACCTAAGGGTAAGAGTGTTGTGGAAAAGGTGTGTGGTCAAATAAATGTATGGGGATCACTTCAATAGCTGACGCCTGATCAGAATCATGTGTGTGTTAAGTTTTTGACATGATTGTCACTTTTTGTAGTATAATTGCCAGATAATAATTAGTGATTAGTATATTCAAATATCAAATCATAAACATCATGACTGATATTTATCATCAATCAACATAACATGACAAAATCACCTAAATGACACCCAATACCTTGGAAAAGAATCTTCATAAGTCAATGAAATTGGTCATAATGACCAACTTCAAAGGGTTACTGCATCAATTTTACAATTAAACAAGTCAACCACGGCATTCTTGTGGTTCCTGTTATCTCCAGTATCAATGCCCCAGCAGCCTTTGAGCCTGGTGTAAGGTTGCTTCATACAGCAGTTGTGCCTAGATTGCTACCAGCAGAGCAGAGCTATGTGTTTGAGAAGCAGACTGGTGAAAGTTGAGTGCAAATCGGACAGCAAAAAATATATCAAAATCAATTTTTCAAAGTTGTAATCACTATACTTTAATTTTTTTAATTTTTAACCCATTCAAACCAATCCATGCACACACACCTTCACGCGTACGCAACACACTCACACACCACTGAACTCTGACACTACCTGGAATAGCCCTCACGGCTGAGTGCACGACACTGGTTCCTCGTATTGTCCGCCATTTTGTTTCCCCCAAAAAAGTATGGCCAGGGAGAACGGGCCTGCATTGTGTTGAACAAAAGTGTTTCTTCATGTGTAGGAGAGGGAGTATGAGTTTTTAGATTTTCATAAATTATATCAATACATTAATGACAATTCTTAGACAATCACACCCCGCCAATTACCGACGGGACAATTACCTCCGTAGAACAATTACCCCCGGAAAATTAACCCCCGATGACAATTACCCCCTCCAAAAAATTACTCCCAAAGGACAACCACTTCCCCCCACTTAGGACAATTACCCCCCCCCCCCCCCAAAAAAAAAAAAAGAGAGAAAAAAAAAAAAGTTAAACAAACTTATTATCGGGATGGACTTCCCCTTTAATGATCAGGGGGTAATTGTCCTCAGGGGTAATTGTCCTAAGGGGTAATTCCAGGGGTTGGGGGTTATTGTCCTCAGGGGTGGTTGTCCTGGGGATGGGGAGTGGGGTGTAATTGTCCAGGGGGGCAATTGTCCTGATAAATTAATGACATGTATTAAGATTATCTGTGATTATATAAGAATGCATTCCAGATCCTCAGAGGCTTAGTTTGTTCAATAAATCCAAATAACCCTGTCGCAATCATACAAGAGATTCACACACAAACACACAAAATCGCTACATACAAGTTACACGTCTGTTGTAGCCTACTTCAGAGCATATTATTTTCATAAAAACTCAACTTGGACACAATCATACACCACCTCTGTTATGTGTTTGAAAGAAATGTAACTTCATACAAATCATCATACATATATACAAGTATACAAATCATTGTCACTCATACACAAAGATACAGTCACACAGACACAACTTTGCAAATGAACTAGTCCATATACCAACATTTTACAAAGAAATTCACATCAAAATAGCACTAGGAGACAGTTTTATACGTAGTACTGCTGTATTGAATTTAAGAGGACTTTGCAATCCGGTGAAGTAATTGCACATGTTTAATACATGATTGTACATGTTTATATCACAATAAATGCACACAATGTTTTTAAATGGCAAGGAAAAGAAAGGTATTTCAAGTATCATTGCACATTTGTGACAATATAAAGGCTGTATTAAACTTGGCATCATTAAGCATCTTCCCTTCTCTTAATACAATGTACGATCATTTTATTTAGGAAAATGAAATTCATGAAACCTTTAAACTTCTAGTTGTTTCTTGTCTATGTAGCTACATGCTAAAATGCTTTGTGATTCTATAATACATTTACATTCAAATAGAAAGGAAATACATGTACAGTTAACTCTGCAGAAGTTGAATCTGTTGGGACCACAACAAATAGTTTGACTTATGCAAGTTTTGACTAAGTAAATGTTAAAAAATGTTCAAATAGTTTGTTTAAAAAAAGAGGGACTGGAGGAAACTTTGACTTAATTATTAAAAAGAGACTTTGAGTCATGCAGATTTCACCATTACTGTTATCATTAATGGAAATAAAAGCATACAGTTGAACTCTGGCTGATTTATAGATATGTCAAACATTATGCTGAAGACAAAAGAGTTACAGTTAAGAATTATACTTAGATTAGGGTGATTATAACAAGAAATTTTCATCAATCTAAGTTCACATTTCAGTGGTGAGACAATATATTTGGCAACTAAATATTGCAACATTTTTTTTCTTCACTATTTGTATTTTTTATGAAAACATCATGACAATTATTAGAAATGTAGTACACATGAAGCATGTAAAGCAAACATTCAAGTAGACAGAAATAATTCATTGGTTCATCTATCCAAACATAGTATAGAAGTTAATGACCTGCAACTAAATGAACATATGGCAAATGTACAAGTACCCTGTTTAACACGTGCACATATCTTCCCAAATGGTTTGTGCAAAAGACATTTACAGCAAAATTTGCTTTTCTCTATTACATTTTCAGTATGATATGATATGAGTCATAAAGAAGCGTAACAACTCATATCAGTGACTCATGGTGTAATGTAATTTAGTGGAAAACGATTAACAGGAGCGTGAATATAATAAACAACAACATGGAATGAATAATCACTGATGTGAGATCTTTTTTTCTTCCATTCATTTTGTCATGTTGGATACCAATTTCAAACCTGTGGTAAACTAATCACTGGTTTAGTTTCATGCACTTATTCTCTCTTTTTGGAAATCTGTGAGAAAAAAAAAAAAAACATACCCCCCCCCCCCCCCAAAAAAAAAAAAATGTTTACAATAATCCAACATTTACATCTAGCACTCCCCTTTTGACCGCAATAGTAATTCAAAAACATTGAAGTACATGTAACTCAGTGTCCAAGTGTCTTTGGACAACACAAACTTGTATTTACAATCGTGATTGATATTTATTGGGCCATCATTATAGAGCATATTAGTAATTAAAAAATATTGAAGTACAAGTAACCTGTGTCTTAGTGTTTTTGCGCAACAAAACTTGTATTTACAATCATGACTCATCGAATAGAAACTATCATAAAAGAGCATGATATTTACTCAAAGACTTGTACTGCTTGTAACTCGATTAGTGTCTAAGTGTCTTTTGACAACAGAAACTTGTATTTACAATCCCGACTCATTGAATGAAAGCCATCATAAAAGAGCATAATAGTAATTTAATAATATTGTAGTAACTTGTATTTACTTTCATGATTGATCAAATGAAAGCCATCATAAAAGAGCAGAATAGTAATTTAGTAATATTGTAGTACATAAACTCAGTGTCAAATGTGTTTGGACATCATAAACTTGTATTTACTTTCATGATTCATCAAATGAAAGCCATCACAAAAGAGCATAATAGTAATTTAGTAATATTTTAGTACATAAACTCAGTGTCAAATGTGTTTGGACATCATAAACTTGTATTTACAATCATGATTCATCAAATGAAAGCCATCACAAAAGAGCATAATAGTAATTTAGTAATATTGTAGTAACTTGTATTTACATTCATGATTCATCAAATGAAAGCCATCATAAAAGAGCAGAATAGTAATTTAGTAATATTATAGTACATAAACTCAGTGTCCAAATGTGTTTGGACATCATAAACTTGTATTTACAATCATGATTCATCAAATGAAAGCCATCATAAAAGAGCATAATAGCAACTTAGTAATATTGTAGTACATAAACTCAGTGTCCAAGTGTCTTTGGACATCATAAACTTGTATTCTGACTCATTGAATGGAAGCCATTCTGACGAAGCTAGTATTTTTGTGTGCAGTGTTCTTATCGTTCATTCTAGTGAAACTTTTCTTAGTAAACTATCGGTAATTTTATTCAAATTTTCTAAATTGTAATTTATCTTCCTCTGAAGGATATGATAAAATAAGAGAATTTTAATGAGACGCAAATAGGAAGTATACCCTATTGCTTTGGAGGCGCGATAGCTCAGTTGGTAGAGCAGTAGTCTTGTAATCCGGCGACCCGGGTTAGAAACAAAGGCAATACGCTAGTGCCCTTTGGTAAGGCATTAACCCTCATTACCAGGTCCCTCGGGGAGGACCTAAAGCCGTCGGTCCTCTAAATGCTTATTAACAACAAGCATTTATGCTTTCTTATAAGCAGTCAGGTAAAATAACCACCACTACATTCTTTTCTCACAATTCACTTCAATTCAAATTGAGCTTAAAATCAGTATGAGCTATCCATGATTTTGTTCTGAGTCTTCATTAAAGTGTATTGAAGCATTTTCACTCAAGTTTAATGATGTCATACAAAATTGGATGTTCTTCAAAGTATAGTGTTCTGATTAGAATTTACACAATTCAGTATTTTTTGTTTCATCAATTAATATATCAAATTGTGGAGGAATGGGAGGAGCTTTACCATTTTTATTATTTCTGATCTTCATTTTTTTTTTTTTATAGTATCGGTACAAAATCAAATTCAAGATTAATACTATAGCATGAATAGGCAAGATAATTACCAGAATGATCACCCATTTGTTGGAGTTGCATGTTTTCATA